GTACACGTACACGCTGCAAAATGATCACCGCAACATGCTATTTCTTCTTAACACGATCTTGCTAAATGGTAACTGGGCGCCATTTTACTCAGGAGATAACAGAATTAGAGAGGTAAAGCCACTTGCCCAAGGTCACACAGTAGCTTCAGAAGCAAAGAAGTGAATTGAGACCTTTCTGCTGTCAAAGTCAGGACTCTCATCAATCTGCCATGAGGGAGGTGGGGTGGGTTCATCAGGGTCTCGGGGGGAAAATCAAATGAATAAAACCACTCCTCTCCTGTGACTATCTCCGCCCGGCTCTCCGCCAACTCCCACAATCGACTCCGACAACCGCTAAGCGTATCTTGGGCTTGTGTAAATTCTCACCGCGAATTATCCTGATCGCTCAAATCTCAGGGATCCGCCCCCTTGGGAGAGTAGAGAGCGGGAAAGTGGGACAGAGCAGGCCACACACTATCAAACCGGGAGTCCTCCTTCACCACGGCCCTCTCTAAGACTCGGCTGGGCTGGGGGCCCAGGGAACGGTCGCTGCGGTAGTGATACGCAAGGCTAAGGGGGTTCTCCACGACCCCAAATCGGGACTCTCCACCTCTGAACCAAGACATTACCCCGAAATCCCAAGGCCAGAGAGTCAAGATGCCAGGTGCCTGGATCCAGACCCTGGGTCAGTACTCCCCACTGCCACCCCCTGCCCAATCACCAAGACCCCTAATGACGGCCTCATTGAGATAAATCTTAGTTCAGGCATCCCCATGTCAGGCCCAGGACCCTCGACTCACGACCGTGACCTCCGAAGCCAGTCACACATCTCCAGACCAGGAACCCGAACCCCGGGGTCAGCGTCAATCACAAGGCTGAACCAAGAGCCCCCTCGTCACAGAAGACCGGAACCAGGACCCCCTCCGCACAGAGACCGGATCCCCTACCCCTAGGCCAAGGCCCCGCCCCTCCGATTCCGGTCTGGCCCCTCGATTCGTGCCCGCCCCAGTCCCAGACCCCGGACCCCACTCCCGGCCGGCACCTGGCTTCATGACGGGAGCTCAGCTCGGCTGTTCGGAACCCTGCAGCGTCCCAGGCTACACGAGTCTGCTGCTTTCGCACGTGGAATGGAACGCACGCGCGGCGACGCACGGCGTGTGACGCAGCCTCGAAGCCCCGCCTCTCGGAGTCCCAGCCCGGGCCGGAGCTCTGCGCGCGCGCTGTGGGCGGGGCTTCGCAAGCCCCTCAGGGCACCGCCGGGTCCGTGGCTTTACGCGCTGCCAGTTAAGGGATCTCTACTCAGAATGCGCTTCCTGCTTCCTCTTCACCGGTACGAGCCCACCCTACCTCCAACTCGTAATCAGGGGTCATCCCCAGGCTGTGCCCTCTGCCCCTCGTCTCTATTTCCAATTAACTCCCTAAGGACGCTTGTACACCCAAAAGCCTTCCCTGACCTATTTCCACCCCTAAGAATAGGGAAGACACTGGGCTCACATTCATGCAATGGTAAGAACATTTATGCACCAGACACTGAGCCGAGATCCAAGAGTCAGACGCTTAACTAACTGAAACACCCCTCTCATTTCTTATTTTCCCTGTTAGTAGTATCGGCAACATGTTAAATTTTAAATGGTATATCAAAGCATAATTTACATATAAAATCCATAAGGATATGGTTCAATGAATTTTAGTAAATTTTTATTATTTGTACAACCATCACCTGATCCAGTTTCAGAATACTTCCATCTTCCCCTTTCCTACTAAGGGAATCACACAATGATGGTCATTTGGGTTGTTTCGTTTTGGGTTATTCTGAATAACGGTGCTCTGTACATTCATGTACAGATATTTGTGTGGAAGTATGCTTTCATTTTTTTTTGAAAAGGGTCCTAGGAGTCAAATGACTGAGTCCTATTATAAACGTGTGCTTACCTTTTATTTATTTTTTGTTTTTATTTATTTCTGAGAGAGAGACACAGCGTGAGCAGGGGAGGGTCAGAGAGAGAGGGAGATACAGAATCTGAAGCAGGCTCCAGGCTCTGAGCTAGCTGTCAGCATAGAGTCGGATATGGGGCTCGAACCCACGAATGCATGAGATCATGACCTGAGCCGAAGTCAGACACTTAACTGACGGAGCCACCCAGGCACCCCAACGTGTGCTTACTTTTTAAAGAAAGGGACACACTGTTTTTCCAAAGTGGTTGGACCTATTTTATTTTTTAAAAATTTTTAACGTTTTATTTTATTTTTTGAGAGACAAAAACAGAGCACAAGCAGGGGAGGGGCAGAGAGAGAGGGAGACACAGAATCCAAAGCAGGCTCCAGGCTTGGAGCTGTCAGCACAGAGCCTGATGCGAGGCTCAGAATAGGGCAAGGTGTGGAGGAAGCAGCATGGACCTTCCACACACAATCCAGGCGTGTCACTCTCCAAGGTCCTTAGTGTGTTCACCAACCAGAAGTTCTCCGAACCCTATTATTTAGAGTTTTTATGGAGATCTTATACATAGGCATAATTGATTAAGTTATTGGCCATTGGTGGTTAAATCAATCTTCAGTCACATTTCCTTTCCCAGGGGTGGTGGTGATGCAGGGGAGGGGGATGGGTTGGGGAGGCTGGGTGCTGAAAGTTCCAGCCCTCTAATCACAGCATTGATCTTTCCAGAGCATTTTCCACCTAACACAAGGAATCTCACATTTAACATATAGTACATCCTCAAATACATTTATCAAATGAATGGAGGAATGGCCAAGGTGGAGTCAAAAGGACTGGCGTTGTGTGCACTTTTCAGTGAAAAAAAACAAAAAAACACATTAGGACCAAGTATGCAGAACTCATCAGGGGCTGTTATGATGGGGAACTTCATGCCTCAATTTTTTAAAAATGTGTAACAAAGTTTTAAACCCTATACAAAAGTAGAGGAATAGAAGAAACCCCATTTACTCATCATTCAGCCTCAAAAACTATCAATGCTTTCTTAGCCTTACATTTTGCCCCATTTCTTTTTCTTTTTCTTTCTCTTTCTTTCCTTCCTTCCTTCCTTTTTCTTTCTTTCCTTCTTTCTTTTTTAATCTTTTTTAAAAGTTTATTTTGAGGGGCGCCCTGGTGGCTTAGTCGGTTAAGCGGCCAACTTTCGCTTAGGTCATGATCTCGCGGTTCGTGGGTTCGAGCCCCGCGTCGGGCTCTGTGCTGACTGCCAGCTCGGAGCCTGGAGCCTGTTTCAGTCTGTGACTCCCTCTCTCTCTGACCCTCCCCTGCTCACGCTGTCTCTCTCTCTCTCTCCTAGAAATAAATAAAACATTAAAAAAATTAAAAAAAAAAAAGTTTATTTTGAGAGAGAGAGAGAGCGAGCAAGAGAGGGTCAAAGAGAGAGGGAGAGAGATGGAATCCTGAGCAGGCTCCACACTATCAGTGCATGATGTGGGGCTCGAACTCACGAACTATGAAATCATAACCTGAACCAAAATCAAGAGTCAAATGCTTAACCAACTGAGTCACCCAGGTGTTCCTCTTTCTTTTTTTTTAAAATCAGCTCTATATGCAATGTGGGGCTTGAACTCACAACCCCAAGAGTCACATGCTCCACTGACTGAGCCAGCTAGGCACCCCAATTGCCCTCTTTTTTTGCTAGGGCATTTTAAAGCCAATCTTAATATTTTGCTATTACACTCCCATATATTTGAGTATGCATCTCTTAAGAAAAAAGAGAACATTTTCTTACATTGTCACACTTAACAAAATTAACAAGAAGTCCCTCATATAATCAAATAACACAGCCACATATTTGTACTTCCTCAATGGTCAAAAACAAATTTTTATTTTTCAAAGATTTTTGAAGTTTATTTATTTTGAGAGAGTGTGTGTATGTGAGCAGGGGAGGGGCAGAGAGAGAGGGAGACACAGAATCTGAAGCAGGCTCCAGGCTCTGAACTATCAGCACAGAGCCCATCGTGGAGTTCAAACCCACGAACCATGAGATCTGAGCTGAAGTCGGAGGCTTAACCAACTGAACCACCCAGGTGCCCCAAACTCTGCTTTAAATATGATGCTGTTGACTGAGACTTTGAGTCCCCTCAAAATTCTTATGTTGGAACATAATCCCTAATGTGATGGTATTTGGAGGTGGGGCCTTTGGGAGGTGATTAGGCCATGAGGGTGGAGCCCTCAAGAATGAGACTAGTTGCCTTTATAAAAGAGACCCAAAGGCCCTCTTACCCCTCAGCCACATAAGGACACATGAGGAGATAGCCAATCATGAACCAGGAAGAGGTCTCTTGCCAGACACCAAATTTGCTAGTGCTTTGATCTTGGACTTGCCAGCCTCCAGCACTGTGAGAAATCAATTTCTATTGTTTATAAGCCACTCGTTCTATGATATTTTGTGATAGCTGAACAGACGAAGACATATGAGAAAACGGAGTGACAGAGAAATTAACTTGTTGGGTTATAAATGATGAAGCTAGAATAGAATCTATCCCTCTTTCCCTTTTTAAAAATTGTTTTAACTTTCATTTATTTTTGAGAGAAAGGGAGAGACAGAGCGTGAGTGGAGTGGAGGAGAGGCAGAGAGAGAGGGAAACACAGAATCCGAAGCAGACTCCAGGCTCTGAGCTGTCAGCACAGAGCCCGAAGCAGGGCTCAAACCCCTGAACTCTGAGATCATGACCTGAGCCAAAGTCAGACGCTTAACCAATTGAACCACCTAGGTGCCCCCCTCTTTCCCTTTTTGACCCTTCCCTCCATCCAATGGTTCATCTTCTCTTCATCTACTTTTTTAAGCATCTATTTCCCCATCTTCCTATTTCTCCACTCCTCCATCCACCCATCCATGTCCCTTCCCTCCCTCCCTCCCCTGTCCTTTTCATCCATCCATCCGTCCCTCCACCCATCCACCCACCCATCCATGCTTTGACCCCTCCCCCCCAATAAATATTCATTATGTGCCAGATGCCCCAGGCATCTGACAGTTGCTGTGCAGGAAGGAGAGTCAGGGAGGAGAAGGCATAAGACACACACATTGGCATGCAGCTTAGCCTAAGATATTTATTCAGTGCTCTTGCAGTTGGCCTCAGTGGCTCATTAAAGGGGTAGAATAGCATAGGGACACACAGGGACACTGTGCAGCCTCCAATTACTGCAGTCTCCAGGAGAATCTGGTCCTGAAGTCCTCATTCCTGGTGGATGGCTGATCAGGTGTGACTGTAAAAGACAGACTCTTAGCACTTCCTCTTGCACACTGAGCACCTACCCCCACCTCCTGCCTTCCCATGGGGACCCAGGTGCCCCTGGCCCAAGTGGCCTGGCTTCCATGCTATATTCCTCACCATGGGGAGAAGTCCTGAGCTCTCCAGCTCTCCAATGTCGTCTTCTGGGAGTCAAGCCCATCATTGGTCTGGTCCCCATCAAAGTTTCCACAGGCCCCACACAGCTTCCCAGCATGGTCCCTGCTGACTATCACAGCCAGCTGCCCATTGGTGCCAAGCCAAACCTGGACCCCTGCTTTCTGCTGGACTAGCACGGAGCCATCGGGGTTCTGACGCACGGACACAGATGTTAACACCTCAGCTGGGAGTGCCACTCGGAGACCATTCACCTGGTGGTGGTTGAGGAAAACACAGAGTGTTACCAGGATGGAGACTCTAAGCAAGACAAGAAGTTCAAGGAGCAAAAGCAGAGACAGATGAAGATGTGGATGCATGCACTGTATGGAGAGATGTGGACGTAGCTAGCTGGAAATTTGGACAGAGGGTTAAAAGGACAGAGAAGAGATGGACAAAGAGATGCATCAATGGATAAACAGGCATGCACAAAGCATTCCAAGGGCAGCCAGGGTGGTGGGGAGCCCTTTATATCAGACAGATAAATACACAATCAAACCCCAGTATCATCCTGTTCTACTTTTTCAAGATAAAAGAACCTTTAAGCATGTCCTGTAAGTTGATGGTTCTCTAACAAAAACAACTGCATGGCTTATTTTTTCAATGCTGATGTCTAAAGACAAGTAACAACCTGGAAAGTATCACAGTCATGTGAGAAAATTACTGTTTCTCTATCATAAGCTGTGGACTCAGTATCCTTTGTAACCTTATATGAGTTAAGTAACTACTGTCTGTTTTCACTGATGAGTTAATCCTTATAAAGTTAGACTCTCTAGAAAACCTTCTTTGAAAGAAAAGTTCTTTTTTCCTAAATGTTTTGGGTCTAGGTCTTCCTCTGGCAGATGATTGGAAAGATTGGTAGATATCCCTGGATAGATGGATGGATGGATGGATGGATGGATGGATGGATGGGTAGATGGGTGAGTGGATGGATAGAAGATAGGGAAGAACATCTGTGTCACTCGGAACATAGCCTGTTGTAGAGGGAACAGGGCTGAATGTATTCACAAAACCAAACTTTTCCTGGGAATCATCTTCCGGTGGCCAGGCCCTATTCTGGATACTGGGAACAAAACGATGATCAAGACAGACATGACCATTGTCCAACCTGAGGATTATATTCTGGTGATGGAGAAAGGCAATAAACACAAACAAATAATGGATAACTTCAGATATCGAGAAGTATGTTGAAGGAAGTAAGACAGGGTGATAGCATCGAGATTGGGATGGACAGGGAGAGCTTCTGTAGGTAGTCAGAAAAGGCCTTGCTATACAATGAACATTGGAACTGAGACCTGGAGTGTGAGAAAGAGTCAATGCAGACCACGTGGGTGAAGAGCCCGGTAGCAGCAGGAATAGCAAACGTGAAGTCCTGAGGTGGGAACAAGCTTGATCTGCTGTACAAATAGCAGAAAGGCCAGCTCAGCCGATCATTAGCACGGCTAATGAGGGAAAGAGTTACAGGCAGTGGGGCTGGAGGCCAGCAGGAGTCAGATCACACAAAGCCTTGTAGGCCAAGGGAGGCAAGTGGCTTGGGTTTGGAATGCTGCTCTGGGAAGCCACCATAGAGTTTTACCCCTGATCTGATACACACGTTTAGAGCATCTGCCTGGCATATAGAGAACTGTTTCATGATAGAGCGGCAAGGGAAGGTCAAGACTAGGTGTCTGTTAACCTGAATTATGGATCAGGCAGATGGCCAGAGAAAAGGAATGATGGGTCCTGATTACCCTAAAGAGAACTCAAGCCCTGCTTCTGAGTCTTGGACCATGTCTGTGCGTTGGTGGGAGGACGCACCATCCACTGAGGGAGACGTGCGTGGGGCATGGGCTGGATATCCGCTGAGTCCAGAGAACCTCAGTGGATGTCTCTGCAATCCACAAACAGGTCATGGAAATAGAGACATGCTCCTCTAGGGACTTTAGCATAGCTTGACATCCATGCTTGGGTCCGGGTCTCTAACATGTGGGCCATGAACCATTAGACCATAAGTTGGCATCAGCTCTCAGTTCGACCAAACAGATTCCCTCTCAGAAATCTGGAGCAGGTATAGTGAGAGCTATGGGGTTCGTAAACACAAGGCAGCTCTACGTGAGAGGAAGTCAAGGGGCAGAAGGGAGAGGGCAACGGGGCTGGAACAGACTCCTGGAGGCAAACAATGACAGGCCCGAGGGGGTCCCGAAGAGCGAGATGAAGGGCAGGTGAGGGAAGGATCTGTGGCCCAGGTTTGTCCGAGTCCAGAGGAAGTTCCCACCGAGCTCCTGGAAACCATCTTGGTCCCTTGTAGCCACGGTTACCACCAGCACCTCATTCCCACCCAAGGTCGTTGGGAACTGAGCCTGGGGCTGGTGGGTTCAATGCTGGTGGGATCTCAGGCACTGACTGAATTACTTAAATAAATGATTTCACCTTCTTGGGCCCTACTTTATCCTCTGTGTAAAATGGAGATAATAGCAGTCCCTGTCTTGTGGGGATGTTGTGGGGAACCACAGGGAATGAAATGGATTTGGTGAACAGCAAGTCTAAAAGATGGAGGCATAAATCCAGATAATACTGCCAGGGCGCCTGGATCCAGCCGCTCCTGAGGCTCTATGCCTGGATTTTCTAGTTCAGTGGGCCAGTAAATTCCTTTCTGCTCAAGGCAATCTGAATTCATTTTGTTACTTGCGACCAACAGAGTTTCGATGAACACTGCTCTCAAAACTACTAAGTTGCTTGAGTGTGTGTTTTGCTCCTCAAGAACTCAGCCAGGGCACTGGGACTAAAGTTTGAAATACTGAGACAAACACAAATCCAGAGACTACATTGCAGAGATCTGGACAAAGAAAACGCAGGCCAGAGGGCAGCCAGGACTGTGGGGACACTGCAGCAGGAATCACAAAAGCCCAGGGGAGACAAGCCACCCCCGCCTTGTGCCCCCGCTTACCCACACGCCCTTCATGGGGCTCACAGTCACGAGCCCGTCCTGGAAGAAGATGTGGGTCCGGCCCACAGCCTCGAGTCTGCCGTGGCAGGGCTGGACATCAGCGACCACACGGTACCAGGGGATGGTTTTCTGTGGTCCTGGGCAGCGGGAAGACACGTCGTAGCTGCCCGGGGAGGTGACTGCTCTGCGGAGCCCATCAAAGGTGGTGAGGTTGGCACCCATCGAAAGGGAACAGAGACCTTGGGGGGCCCAGCAGTCCCGGGCCCCAGCCTGGACCTCACATACACGGCCTGGTGTGCAGCTGGCCGTCTGGCACGTCAGGCCGGTGCGTGAGGAGCAGGAACAGCGCTTGCTGCAGTCTGAGCTCAGCAGTGAGGAGTTCACCTGCGCACAGAGAGCGGGGCCAGGTTACTGCGGTGTGGCGGACCGGAACCGTGGGCACAATCCTCCAACCCTCTGGGCCCACGCAGAATGCTTTTGCGGCAACTTCCTTTCAGAGAGGAAATTTACAGGGTGCCTGGGTGGCTCAGTCGGTTAAGCAGCCGGCTTCAGCTCAGGTCATGGTCTCATAGTTTGTGAGTTCAAGTCCCACGGTGGGCTCTGTGCTGACCACCTGCTTTGGATTCTGTGTATGTTTCTCTCTCTGCCCCTCTCCCACTCTATCTATCTCTCAAAAATAAATTTTTAAAAAACATTAAAAAAAAAGAGATGAAATTTACTTCCCCTTCCCCCATGCATCTGGGCTCACCTTACAACTATACTTTGGTTATTTTAATGCAGCAGAAGCAGTGCTTGGACCAAGTTCAAGCTTGGGCCTCATGAGACCTTACACTTTCTCTCTCTCTTTCTTGGAACCCTGCCCGGCCGCCATAAGATTAAGCGGGGGCTAGTTTGCTGGAGGATGAGATCCCATGGGAGAGAGACAATGATCCCAGCTGACACCACTGTACTCCAGCCAGCCCTCAGCTGACCCACCCCGGGGGTACATATGTCTGAGTGACCCCCCCGGGACAGCAGAAGAACCACACAGCTGTGCCCACTCAAACAGCAGAGTCCCAGTCATGGACTAAACAAACAGTTGTCTAAAGCTGCCGTGTTTTGGGGTAAATTGTAACCCAGCAAAAGCTAACGGGTTCAGGTAGGAGTGGGCATTGCAGAAATCCCGGAGTCCTGGCACCCACAGACCAGAACACAGAGGGCTCTGGGAGTCTGACTCTGGAAATTAACTTAATAACTTTTTTTCCCCTCCTGCCTGACTGGCTGCTCTCTCTTCATGGTTCATTCTTATCTCTGAAATCCTTAACGCTACTTTGCTCTGGGCTCAGTCCTTCGACCCTTTTTGTCTTTCATCTATGTTTGCTACCTGATGATCTCATTAAATTTCATAAAAACTGAAAGCAACATCTGATCCTCATTGGGACTCATTGGGGGGGCAGGTAATTGTTACAGAGGACGTTATGGAGACAACTGGTAAAATTCAAATACAATCTTTTAGATATTGAATCACTGTTCATTTCCTGATTTGGAAATTAATCCCATCATAATCCTATAAATGAATTTCCATATTCTTGGGAAATGTGTGCTCAAGTACTTAGGGTAAAGGGGCACCAGGTCAGCATCATACTCTCGAACGGTTCAGAAGAAATGTGCATTTAAACTTATACAGAGAGGTTGGAAAGCACACATGTCAAAAGGTCAACAAGAACCTAAACGATGGGTCTGCGGGAGTGCTTTTTACGATTCTCGCAGGTTTTCTTAAGTTTGGATTCTCTAAAAATAAAAGTCTGGGGTGCCTGGGTGGCTCAGTTGGCTAAGCGGTTAAGTGTCTGACTTGGGCTCAGGTCATGATCTCACGGTTTGTGGGTTTGAGCCCTGTATCTGGCTCTCTGCTTCGGATCCTCCCCGCCCCCATCTCTGCCGCTTCCGCCCAGGCACTCGCTCTCTCTGTGTCTCAAAAATCAATATTAAAAAAAAAAAAAAGGATCGTTCAATGAATTAATATCTGTTACAAACCTGGCACACACCAAGAGCTCAGGAAACATCAAGGATGAAAAGAAATCAAATTTTCAATTTCCACCACGAAACGATTGCCAGCTTCACTACCTACTGTGCTGTTGTAAAGTGCTGGCATTTTTACTGTATGATGAAGGCGGAGGGTGAGGCCCCGTGCCCGGTCGGGACCTCTCAGGCACAATGACATCCCATCCTCAGATACCCGTGGTGCATGGGTGATGATTAAGCTCGTGTTATAGAGGAAGAAAATGAGGCTCAGAGAGGGGAGTGTAGTAGGCCGGGTAATATCCCCACAAATATATGAGGCCCCAATTCCTGGGACCAGTCAATGTTACCTTCTATGGAAAAAGGGTGTCTGCAGATGTGATAAACTAAGGATCTGGAGCCGGATAGACTGTCCTGGGTGGGCCTTAAATGCAATCGTACATATCCTTATAAAAGGGAGGCTTTGTGACACACCAGAGGAGGGGACGCGTGATACAGAGGCAGAAATTGGGGCCGAGTGTCACAAGCCGGGGAATGCCTGCAGCCACCAAAAATGGGGGGAGGCAAGGAACAGATTCTTTCCTGGGGCCCCCGGAGGGCGTGCTGTCCTGCCGGCACCTCGATTTTGCCCCATTGACCCTGATTTCTGACGCTGGCCTCCAGAACTCTGGCAGGAAAAATTTCCCTGGTTTGAAGCCACCAAGGTTGCTTGTGGCCTTTGTCTCAGCAGCCTCCTGAAATATAGACACTTTACAAGCATCGAGTCACCCAGGTGGGAAACTGGAGGTGGCTCCTCTGTCCCCATCCTTGAGGGGGTTGGCAGAGAAGCTCAGAGTCTCCCTCCAGCTCCTCTACCCTCCCTGCCCACCTCCAGCCCCGGCTCACCGGCAAGTAATGACCATCGTGGGCGCAGCCGCAGTCCTGCACGGGGACGCAGGTGCCCTGCGAGAGCAGGAAGCGGTCGTCACACTCGCAGCCCTCAAAACAGCGGCTGGTGCAGCCCGTGAGGCCGGAGAGAGCAGCACAAGAGCCCTGGCATGAGCGCGTGCAGGCTGAGTAGTGGCTGTGGGCGGGGCACTGGAGCGCTGCGGGCGGGCAGAGAGAGGGCGGGGTCAGGCCTGGGGGCACCGGACCCTGGTCTTGGCATCCCGCTCGCCGGATCTGGGCTGGCAGTGCTGGGCACACCGGCTAGGAAGCCGCCTCATGCCCTGCCCCATGGAGCTCATTATCAGTGGACAGGTAGTCACGGCCCAGCGTGACCAGGGCTGCAGGGGGAGGCGTGGACAGAGAGGTCAGGGCCCGGATGAGGCCAAAACAGGGGGTTATAAGGACACACGGGAAGCATCCAGGGTGAGGCCCTGGGCTCTGCCTGAGCAATCCATGGATGGTGTGGCTGTCCTGAGATGCAGACTTGGGGTCACAGAATGGTAGGGTCAGGTTTGGGGTGAGATGCTGATGTCATATGGGAACACAGCAGGTGTGAAGAACCTGAAGGACACCCAGGGAAAACTGTCCAGGAAGCCACTGGACCCCAGAGGTTGGCAGTCAGGAGAGGGTTCAGGGCCAAAGACAGACAGCGTCTACTGTCAGCACAGGACAGATCTAAGGCCACAGAGGTAGATGATGGCCCCGGACATGGGTGCTGTCCTGCAGAGAATGAAGGAGACACGGCCCTGCCCTGGGAGTTTGATGGAAACGTACCCCCTAAGAGAGGTACAGTCCTGGGCTGGGGGGCTGAGGGCAACTGCCTTGTCCTGGAGGATCTGAGGGGACATGGTCCCATCCTGGGGGAGGGGGGGGGGTCCAGGTGAGTCACAGACTCGGGCTTTATTATGTGAGCTACTGGCCTGTCTGACCAGCCCACCCGGGCCCCACAGAAAGGGTTCAGGATGAGTCCTGGGGAAGAGCTCTGTCTGTGGTTTCAGGAGCCATGGGAGGGGGGGCCCGCAGGCGAGTCAGCGGGGCAGGAAGAAAGGGGGGAGGGTGTGCTGTGGCAGAAGCTGGGGAGGGGGCTTCAGGAGGGCAGGACTGCTCCTGAGAGGCAGACAGGACAGGAGCAGATCAGGGGGTGTCCCTGAGCCTGGTCTGGAGTCCTCCGAGGGCCCCCTCGGACACTCACGGCAGAAGCTGTCTGTCCTCCAGGGTTTCACGGCCCCACCGGCCGCCTGGCAGGCCGCCATGTAAGCGGCCAGGCTGCGGCAGAGGAAGGCGGTGTTGCCTTTGTGGACACACATGTCATACACGCACTGGCGGAAGTATTCGGAGGGGTTCAGCACCGCGTGGCAGGCCGCGAAAGGGCCGTGGGGGTCCCGGAGTCGGCCGCAGGCCTTGACATTCTCATAGGGCGCCGTCTCCTCCGCTGAGCACACGGGACAGCCGCCCGGCCCACAGCCCTCGCCACAGCCCTGGGAAGAGCTGGGCGCCCGCCAGTTGGCCCCGAAGGCGTCCACGCTGGGGGCCACGGCGCCACTGGGCAGGACAAAGTCGTCGCTCCAGTTGCCATTGAAGTTCCCACAGAGGCCACAGAGCCGGCCACGGAAGGGGCTCGGGATGGATATGAGGATGTGAGCTTCACCGTCAAAGAGAAGCCGCAGTCCCTTGGTTGTCTGGAGAACCATGTTCCGGCCCTCGGCGGTCACCCGCACACGACCCACAGCCACAGGCAGGGCCACAGCCTCGCCGTCGATGGTGACCTGGGTGGAAGGGCCAGGGCCAGGGGTCAGGGACTCATAGTACCACAGTGAGGTAGTCCCCTCAGACTCCTGGGGTAGAGTTCTGTCCCTCTCAGGCCCTTTGGGTTGCACCATGTCCTTGGATTGCCCAAGGGAGGGACTGTGTCACCTTCAGACCCCCAGATCTGTGTCACCCTTAGTCCCCTTGGAGTGGGGTCATAGATCCCTCAAGCCCTCCAGGTGGGCCCTGTCCTGCTCAGAACCTGCCCCCCCCCCGCCAATGGGTCCATGTGTCCTTCAAGCCCCCAGGGTAAGGCCATGTCCCCTTACTTACCCTTGACCCCCGTGCCAGCACCACCACCTGGCCAGCCACAGTAACCACCAGCTGCTGGGGCTCTCCGGCTGCATTCTTCTCAAGCACAATGACAAAGTCCTCGTCCCCAGGCTTTGGGTGGCAGACTTGGGCCAAGATGTAGGAGCACGAGCCATGGAGGTCATAGACACGCCCATCAAGGGTGACGTAGTGGACACCCCCATTGGCCAGGCAGCGGCCACAGCCTGTAGGGTGACAGGCCTGGACGCCGTCCTCCACTCGACACACCTCGTAGGGCCCGCAGGCTGCGCCCTGCTGGCAAGTGACTTGGCCACCCGGCCCGCACTCGCAGCGCCGCTCACACTCAGGGCCCGGGTAGAAGGACTGGCCCAGAGGGTAGTAGCGGCCGTCGTGGATGCATCCACACTGGCCCACAGGCACACAGGTGTCACCGCTGAGCACGAAGCCGGCATCACAGACGCAGCCCTCCCGACAGGTCTGCACGCAGCCCTCGGGCACAGACAGGCTTGGGCAGCTCACGGGGCAGGAGTCACCGCAGAGCTTGTAGTGGCTGTGGGGAGGGCACTGGAGGGCTGTGGGGACAAAAGGGGAATGAGCCAGGCGGGCACCGGGGGGGGGGGACATGGGGACTCAGGGGAGGCACAGAGTGGGAGAACCTGCCCAGGTGAATCTGTATGTCCTGCCTGAGAATATTTCATGAGCGAATCCATCCAGGGATCTGAGCGGAGTGTCTGACCCAGTGTATCTAACTGGAAGATTCGAGATGGGGCTGTGGAGACCAAGTCTCTCTGACCACTTTGCGGGTCAATCTGATCAAAATTTCTGTAGATAAAGTGAATTTGACTGGGTGAGTTTGACCACCTATATTTGACCAAGATATGCAGGATTGGAACCAAATATGTGGGTATCTCGGTGTGTGTGGGGGGGTGACTCTGACCGAGCTACGGGACCAAACGTATCCTGCATCTCTGGTATGAATATACCTGACTGTGGACTCCTGTCCTGGAGCCTCTGATGGAGTGTCACAGACAAGGCTGGTGTCCAGTGTGACTCTAACCATGTGTATCTGATTGGTGGAGCCGCCAGCATAAATCTGACCAAGGCGATGTGCCTAAGGGGGGAACTATCTGGACTATCTGACCATGAACCTGTATATATCTACCTGGGGCTATTTCAGGGTCACGGTTGTACCTGCGAGTATCTGTCCAAGTGTCTCTAACCAGAAGAGTCCCTGTCTAGGCTATCCCACCAATTCTATCTGACCCTGCAGATGTCAGTGTTTGAAACAGTGTAGGTGCATCTAACCAGGTGGAAGTCTCTAGGTCTCTGTGACCCAGGGTACCTGAGAGAATCTACTTGACCATGTGTATCTCGCTGGATAGCTGTGACAGGGTCAACCGCCCCAGTCTATCTGAGTGAGACATCTGAGCACATGAATCCCAGAGAGGGTCCGGTACTCAGCGTTTCTGACCGGGTGTATCTGAATGTCTCCCATGGCAATATGCGACCTGGTACAATTCGGGAATAAATGCCCCGGTGTATTTTTGACAGGACCTATCTGGCTCATGGGAGGCAAGGGGGTGCCGGAGCCCCACGGAAGAGGAGAGGACTCTTGTCTTTGAGCTGCGTGAAGAGGGGAGGAGGGATGACCCCACGGGGTGGACCACGCATGGATCAGTACTCACGACAGAAATCCGGCCGCCTCCACTCGCCGAGCGTGGCCCCCGCGGCCTGGCAGGCTGCCACATAGGCCTCCACGGCAGGGCAGAGGCCACCCGGATGGCCCTGGGCTTGGCAGGCATCCAGCAAGCAGGCCTTGAAGTAGTGCTCTGGCGGCAAGAGGCGGTGGCAGGGCGCCAGCGGGCCGTCGGCGGCCGAGATCACGCCGCAAGCGTCCCGGCCGCCGAAGGCCTCCTGCTGCTGAGGCGTGCACTGCGGCGGGCATGGCCCGGGCACGCACTCCCCGCATCCCTCCTGGCCGCCCACCTGCCAGCCTGCTGGGTTTCCGCCCACAGCCTTCAGGTCATCGGCTGGATCCCGGTTGTAGTTCCCGCACAGGCCACAGAGGGCGCCCGCGTACGCCGCCGGCACGCGCAGGCGCACGAAGCTGTTGCCGTCGAAAGTCAGAGAGAGCCCGGTGGCGGCGGTCACCACCACGTCTGCGCCACTCAGGTACGCTCGCAGGCGCGAGTCCAGTTGGTAGGGCAGTGCTACGAGCTCGCCGTCCACCTATGGGCACGGGGTAGGGTTAGGGGTCGTGAACGGCGTGGGCACAGGTTCGAATTTTGACTCCACTCCCTAAGGAGTGGGTAATGCGGGGGTGGGGTGGCTGAGCATGTGATCTACACTTTGTGATAATGATGATAGTAGTAGTAATAAGGAGCATCTATAGACACGATGCCACTGCCTCCTCACACGACTCTGTGAAGCAGGTACTTTTCTTAGACCCATCTTATAGTGGAATAAACTAAGGCTAAACTAAAAGAATAAACTAATTAGTTTAAACGGGGAAGCCCTCCTCCTCCAAGACCTGTACTCTGAACCCCCTTCCCCCATCATGTCCACTAACCACTGGAAGGTAACCAGGGGGATGGTAAACCCCTAACTGTCCCAGATGACCCCAGGGCTCCTCTCCATGCCCCTCACCTGCAGCTTTTGGGGCCAGCGGGCACTAAGGGTCAGTCTGTGGCCATACATGTGCAGGGTGACGCTGCGGGTGTAGCTGACGGCCTGGCTGCCCCGGTGCTCATTGGCTACAGTGACTGTGAAGTTCTCAACACCCTGGGCTGGTGCGGAGCAGGGCGCACTCAGCAGGTACTCGCAGGTGCCTTGGAAGTCGAATCGGTGCCCATCCAGGGTGATGTAATGGGGGTCACCCCAGGCCTTACACTCAGCCGTGCTGGCGGGATGGCAGCCGAGCTGGCCCGAGGGCAGCAGGGCACATTCTTCGCCTGGCCCACACCTGGCAGGCTTGCAGACCACCGAGCCACCCCCAGGCCCGCAGTGGCACCTCTGGGAGCAGGTGGCATCGGCCCAGAACTCGCTGCCAGCTTCATGGTAGGTGCCGTTGGCCCAGCAGCCACAGCCGCCGTCCAGGGGAACGCATTGGTCGGCACTCAACACGAAGCCTGAGTCGCACTGGCAGCCCTCAGCACAGGGGCCCTCACATAGCGTTGGGGTCGTGGGGGGCGTGGGGGATGGGCAGCTGGCCGGGCAGGGTGGGCCGCAGAGCTCGTAGTGGCTGTTGTCGGGGCAGGATATCTCTGTAGGGGTGGATGGAGGAGTGGGAGGGAGAGAAAGAGAAGAGAATGGTGTCAGGGGGGTGGGGTCAGAGGATGGGAAGGAGACAGAGGTAGAGAGAGACAAAGAGGGACAGAGAAACAGCAAGAGACACCAACAGAGAGAGGGACACAGAGGAAGACTCGAACAGAGAGGCAGAGAGACGATCAAAGGGAGACAAAGAGATAAGCACCAAGAAACTGAGAGACAAAAACAAAGAGAGAAACAAACCAAAAGACTCGGCAAGACTGCCCCCCCTGCCCCGCCCAGCTCCTGCTCTGCTCCCCTCCTCACTCACCACAGCCAGCCTGCTCCCTCCAATCCTTAATGGCGACCCCGGCGGCCTGGCAGGCAGCGGCATAGGCGGCCAGGGCCTTACAGAGGATGTCATGGGCCCCGCCGCCTAAGCAGACATCCAGAACGCAGCCCTTGAAGAAGCTGTCGGGAGCCACTTGGGCATGGCAGGCAGCAAAGGGTCCTCCTGCGCCAGGAGCCAGGGGCCCACAGAAGCCAGGGCCCTTGTACTCCTCCACTTGGTCCCCAGAGCACGATGGACAGGAGCCCTGACACTCATCCCAGCACAGCGGGTCCCAGCCTGGAGCTCGCCAGCTGCCGCCCCACACCGGTATGGAGGGGGACAGCGTGCCGTTCGGAAACACTCGGTCGTTGCTGGGGTTGCGGTCCATGTTCCCGCAGAGCCCACACACTGCGCCGTGATAGCTGCTAGGCAGAGTCACCTCCACTCGCCAGTCCCAGTCATAGGTGACCCGAAGCCCGAAGTCGGCTGCCAGCACCGCTTTCGACGCGCCCTGGGTCACCGAGATCCGCCCACCGGCCACAGAGACTGGCAGCGCCGTCAGCACCCCGTTCACCTGGGGGTTGAGGGGGAAAGGAGGCACAGAGCTCACTGGAGGGGGGGACTCCAGCTCTGGCCCCCCCACCTCCCTCCCCGAGCCTGCCATGGCTGGCAGCCGCCAAGGCCCTCCTCGCCACCGATGGTCGTGGGTCACTTGACAGACATTGTGGACATTGCTGAAACCCACGCTGCTTCTTTTTCTGGGTCTCTCTATCCCCATCTCCCTCCCTTCCTCTCTCTGTGTTGTCTCTCCCTCTCTCCACATCTAAACCTGTTTCTCTTTCTGGGATCTCTCTTTCCCTCTCTGAGTTTCTCTCTCACTCGGTGTCTCTCTCTCTCTCTGGGTCTCCCTTCCCTCTCTGTCTCTCTCACGCGTGCACTGACTCTGCATCTCTGTGCGTGTGTGTGTGTACAGGTGCACACACACACACGTACTCTTTCTCTGGCTCTTTCTCTTTCCTGTATGTCTCTTTGTGTCTGGACATCTCTTCAACTCGCTCAGTATCATTTATTGAGACCCTACCCTGTTCCATATCTGTCTCTCTCTCCCCCTGTGAACTGCCATTAATCTGCAACTCCATTACCATGGGCAGGAAGGGTGGTCTCTCCCCCCCATACCTTCCCCCCAATCTCCTTGAATTTCACTCCACTTGGAGGCCCTGGGCCTCTCCCTTACTCCCTCGCAAACATTCACGGCCTCTCACCCGGGTCAGACCCTCTGCTGAGCACTTATCATGTGCCATTGGATCCCCGTTTCACAGGTGAGGAAACTGAGGACCACCAGGAAAAGTCACTTGCCCAACATCACACGGCTCACAGGGAGAGACTGGATTCAAGCCCAGGTCTCTAAAAAGGCTAGTGCTGAAGTCCCACACCCTTAGTAAAGGGCTACACCCTTAGCAAAGGGCTAGGCTCCTTTAATGCCCCACAGAGAGGTGATGTTTGTTGTTATTTTTGTTGCTTTTTGCTGTCATTTAGTTTGAGCGCTGGGCGAAGAGAGAGCTCTCAGGTTCTAACTGTGGCTGGCAGGACCCCTCTCCCCCCGACCAAGGGGCTCAAGGGACCATCCTGCAGGACTTACCCGGACTTTGCCGATCTCGCCTTTGTGGATGGAGATGTTGACTCTGAGGGCAGACACGGTGACGCGCCTGACAAAGGACACAGCAGGGTTGCCCCGGTTCTCATTCTTGGTGGTGACGGTGAAGGGGGTCAGGCCCTGGGCTTTGACCCCTGGGCAGCCGGCGGCCGCCAGCACGTAGTCGCAGGTGCCCTGGAAGTCGAAGTCCCAGCCATCGAAGGAGTGGTAGTGCGGGTCGCCCCACAGCCAGCACGTGGCCTCGTAGTTGGGCACGCACACACCCTGGCCGTCCTTCTCCTGGCATGTCTCCTGTGGCCGACACGTCACACCGTGGCACGGGTCTGGAGGCAGGGAGAGAGGACCTCGTGGGGCTGCCCAGCATTGGCCCCGGAAGGGCTCCCGAAGGTGAGGACAGACACCAGGGGCCTCCCATCTGAGACTCAGCCCCTGCGGTTGGCTGTTTCTGAGACCAGGCCTCTGGGGTCCCCCGCGTTGGAAATCCAGGCCCTGCGGCGGACTGTGTCTAAGACCCCATCAAAGGCTCCCACACCCAAGGCCCTGCAGTTTGCTGTCTGAGACCCCTGGCCCGAGTACCTGACCGCCAAGACTCAGACTCTAGGGTCCTTGCATCAGAACCCAGCCCGGGGGCTCCCAGTATCTGCAATGCCAGCCCTGAGGGCATCCATAGCCCCAGAGTTATCCGTGTTCAAGACCCTGTTATCCTGTGCAGCGGCACCAAGGCTCAGTCAGTTCTGAGGGCTCCATTCTCGTATCTTTGGGAATAAGGAGTTATTCTCTGCCCTTCATGCTAAGAAACCAGTTCTGGGGGGCAGCTTTGTGACTTTGATGTAATCTGGGGGAGGTCCCAGGTCTGAGACTGTTTCCCTATAAATCCTGATCCTCCTCTTGGCGGGAGGGCCTGAATCTAAGACCCAAGCCTTGTTGGGGTCTCTGCCTGAGACCTCAGGACTGTGCTTTCTGTCTCTGTACCTGTCGGTCCCCCTTTCCCCTACCTTTAAGGGGAGGTGGTAGTAGAAGCCCTGAGCCTAATCCTCCATACCAGTGGTCAGCGACCCATGCCACAGCCAGCTGCCTGTTTTTATACATATCCGAGGCTTTTATTGGAGCCTCACCCCCTCACTTACACAGTGTACAGCTGATTTCATGCCACAGTGGCAGAGTTAAGTAGTTACAACTGAGACTATAAGACCTGCAAGTTCAAATCTTTACCATCTGGCCCTTTAAGGGAAAAGTTTGCCTGTCTTTGCCTTATGCCAAGGGTCTCTGACCTCTGCTCCAGGGAACCTCACCCTGAGGGTCCCCAGAACCTGGATTCCACCATAAGGAAGACCACCTCGCGGTCTGGAGGCCCTGTGCCCCTGGCCCTGGGAATCCCAGCCTGGGGGGCCCCAGATCGGAGACTTCAGTCCTTAGTCCTCTGTGCTGCCGACTGTAAGAATCTGAGTTCACACCTCCCGCTGCTCCAGAGTCCCCATCCTCTGTTCCCAGCCCCAGGGGGCCCAGCACCTTTGGTGACACAGCTCAGGACGCCTCCTGCAGGCTCGCACACCTGCCCTGGCTTGCAGCTGTGGGCCTGGCACACCAGGTCTTTCCCGGGGTGGCACACGCACTGTTGCTGGCAGCTGTCGATCAGGACCTCCTGGTTCGGCTGTGAGGACAGAGGGCACGGCCATCAGGGCGGGAACTGAATCGGCATCTCCAGTGTCCCAGGGATAGAGGGAAAGAGGACATCAAAGGGACATCTTTCAGCAGGGTGGCCCCCTGTCTGTGAAACTAAGGCACCACGTGGCCTTGGGATCCAATTCATTCATTCATTCACTCATTCATTGATTCATTTTTCCAAAATATCCACTTAATGTCTGCTGTACAGAAAAAACAGTATAATGTACTAATTAAGAGCAAAGGCCCCGAGCAAACTCCCTGGGTCTGAAGCCTCATCCTGCTATTTCCAGATTGTATCATTCTGTGCAAATTGCTTAACCTCTTTATGCCTCAGCTTCTTTATCTGTAAACTGTCTATACTAATAGCACCTACCTATGATAGTATAACTTAATTAATAATACTCATAAGGTACAGGGGAAAGGGAGTTCGTTTTTTTTTTTTTTTAATTTGAGAAGAGAGAAAGTACATGAGTCGCCGAGTGGGGCAGATGGAGAGAGAGAGAGACTGAGAGAGAGAGAGAGAGAGAGAGAGAGAGAGAGGGAATCTCAAGCAGGCTCCACATTCACCACGGAGGGCGAAACGGGGCTCGTTACCACAACCCTGAGATCCTGAGCCCAGATCAAGAGTCGGATGCTCAACTGACTGAGCCACCCAGGCGCCCTGGGAATTCCTTTAAATAATCCTGATTAGGGAAGAAACAGGGATAAGAGATGAAACAAGATCACAAAAACGTGGTTGTCGCGAAAGGCAAGGGACGGATACATGGAGATTTACACTGTTCTCTTGACGTCTGCATGTTTGAAAATTTTTCATAATAAACGTTCCTATGTGTGTGTAACGCATGTGTGCTGTGTACCAGGAGTGCAAGCAGTGACTGGCATGTAGGAAGTACCACCTATTTGCTTATTGTCACTGTCCTTTGTATGAGGAGAGCAGGCAGAGAGGGTCCCTGGCCTCATGGAGCTCGTGGTCTTCTGAGGGGACAGATGTTACACACACACACACACACACACACACACACACACACACAGTCAAATCAAAAGAAAAGGAGTAAGTGGGTGAGGGTTGGAGAGGGAAGCAGCTGGAAGTGCCTACTGTGTCGCAGAGACAGTCTAGAGCTGGGGAGCCAGGAGAGGGTTTAAAGCTGCAGGACCCATGGCTGTATTGAGAAAGGTCTTCCCACTGCCATTAGGAGGGTGGCCCAGAAGGGGCAAAAGTGAGGGTGTGGAGGGAGCAGGTGGGAGAGGACAAAGGTACCACGGTGGGGCCATGATGGTGGGGAGGGAAGGTGAGGAGAGACATTCAGGAGGCCGAGTGGACAGGCTGTGGGGTGATGGGCTGTGGGAGGGGGTCCAGCGCGAGGCCTCAGGCTCTGCCCGCAATGACCGGGGTCCTACCTCATAGTAGACGCCGTTGTGGTAGCAGCCACATTGCTGGATGGGTACACAGGCCTGGCCATCACTGAGGAAGCCGGGGTTGCACTGGCAGCCCTCGGCACAGCTCTCCGGGCACTGGGGGGAGGCACTGAGTGCCGAGCAAGTCAGGGAGCAGGTATCTGCACAGAGCTTGTAGTGGCTGTTGGGGGGGCACTTCATTGCTACAAAGAGAGGGTGCTGGTCAGAGGGAGGGGCTGCAGGGCCCAGAGTCTGGCCCCCTCTGTGCCTCAGTCTCCCCTCCCTGTGCTCCCCTTTTTCTGCCCTCTACTCACGGCAGAATGATTCGGTCCTCCAGGGCCCAACCTGGCCTCCAGCCGCCTGGCAAGCACTCACGTAGGCGTGGATGTTGCTGCAGAGAATGCTCTCGTTCCCACCACCCAAGCAGAGGTCAAAGACGCAGTTTTTCAAGGGACCCTGGGGATCGACCAGCTTGTGGCAGGCGGCCAGCGGCCCAGTGGGGCTGGTGAGGAGCCCACAGAACTTCTCCTGCTGGTACTTCTCCTGCAGCTCAGGTCTACACTCCAGGTCCGGGCCACAGCCCTCACCCGGCTTGCAGGTGGGTGGCGGCAGGCACGGAGAGCCCGGCACCGCCTCCTCCCACGAGTTGCCGAACTCGGTGGGGCCGCCTGCCTGTGTGCCGTCCGGCTTCCGGAAGTCATCCTTGGAGTCACCATTATAGTCCCCGCACAGGCCACACAGCTGCCGGTGGTAGTTGCCTGGGACGGTGACCCGCACATTGTACACGAGGTCATAGGCCACACGCAGGCCGAAGTCGGTCTCAATCACAGCGTCTGAGCCGTGCTGGAAGGCGCGGACCCGGCCCTGGGCCAGCACCACGGGCAGCTTCATGTCCACGCCGTTCACCTGGGAGGTGGGAGATTCCACGTGTCAGGGGGCACACTTTGGGAGGGTGGGCCCTAGTTCAAGCCCCTGCCTGACACTGGAGATCCATGTGACCTCACTTCTCTGGGCCTCTGTTTCCATATTTGTAAAATGGGCAGCATGGCCGAGTCTTTGCAGTGGGTGGAATGGCCATGTCCTACCGGAAGCCCTGAATATGACCTCATTTGGAATAAGAGTCTTTGCAGATGTACTTAGGGTCATGATCTCAAGATCATCCTGGATTAGGGAAGGCCGGAAGTGGCCAGGTTCCTTATATAAAGATAAGAGCCAGAAGAGGAGACAGACAGAGATGTGGAGACAAAGACAGGGATGGGAGGGAGGTGACCGTGAGCCAAGGAACAAGGAACAAGGAGCCTGGGGCCTCCAGAAGCTGGAAGAGGCAAGGATGGATCCTCCTCCAGAGCCCTGCCAATACCTTGAATTTGGACTTCTGGCCTCAACAAGGGTAAGAAAACACATTTCTGGTGTTTTTTTTTTAAATTTTTTAAATGTTTATTTTGAGAGAGAGAGAAAGCATGAGCTGGGGAAGGGCAGAGAGAGAGAGGGAGACACAGAATCCGAAGCAGGGTCCAGACTCTGAGCCATTAGCACAGAGCCTGATGCAGGCCTCGAACCCATGAACCGTGAGATCATGACCCGAGCCGAAGTTGGATGCTCAACCAACTGAACCACCCAGGCACCCCACATTTCTGTTTTTTGGTTTTTTTAAAATTTTTTTTTTTCTGAGAGAGAGAGAGAGACAGCGTGAGCAGGGGAGGGTCAGAGAGAGGGAGACACAGAATCTGAAACAGGTTCCAGGCTCTGAGCTAGCTGTCAGCACAGAGCCCGACTTGGGGCTCGAACCCACGAACCGTGAGATCATGACCTGAGCCGAAGTCAGACGCTTAACCGACTGAACCACCCAGGAGCCCCCATTTCCATTGTTTTAAGCCACCATGCTTGTGGTAACTTGTTACAGCAGCCACAGGATGCTCATACAGGTCTCGACAGAGTTACATGCTCACCGGCTACCCCTGATTCTCCACTTACCGATCAATAACGCAGTGAAGGGTCCCAGAGCCACCAGCCTGGGTTCTAACACAGCTTTACTCTTTCTGTGACTTTGTGCAGGTGAAGACCCCTCTCTGGGTTTCCTGCTTCCTCATCTACGGAGTGGGGCCCACAGGGTTGCAGTGGGGATTAGATAAACCAATATTTGTCAAGTGCAGGGAAATGAGTCTGGCACAGAATGGGTGTTTGGGGAGCATCTGCTACTGGGATGAACTATGATTAGAAGATTTTTACTTTGCCAAATAAGTGGGTGCTGAGGCTTTTTGCGTTAAGCATCAGGGGGTGGACCATAGGCTCATGGGAAATGAACGTCGGGCCCCCTAGCCAAGAACCAGTGGTTGTGATTGAAGGCTGCTGGGCACCAACCAAGTCTTATAAATCCCCTCCTGATTAACACGTTTGCTCATCCTTCCTTAATGCAGACATGACAAGCATCGGAGTCTTCTGGAAGATTAAGGAATCAGAGAAGGCAAGAGGCAGACACGATCCTGTCCGTGGCTCCTAAAAACATTGTCACCTGCCATACTTCTCAAGCAGGGACAGGGAGCAGTTAAGGACAAGTGACATACTCTGTGCCTCAGTTTTCTCACCTGTAAAGTGGGTATAATAATAGTTTCCACCTCATGGAGAAGCTGGGGGATTCAGGGAGATGCAAATAACACCAACCACTCGTATATTCACAGTCAGCTATATGTCAGTCACTATCCTAGGAGCCTGCGCCACCTCAGGGACTCTGTTAAAGCATCTAATGTGTGGCCAGTGTAATGCATATAGGCACCTGAAAAAGTCGGCTATTTTTCAGCATGTTCATTGCCCATACTGCACGAGTACGAGACTTGTGCGCCTGCCTTTTAGTGAGATCTCTGGGGAAAGCCCTCCAGCTTTTACATGAGACCAAGTCCTTCTCAGAAAGGCAGCACGGAGCCCCCAAGATCCCATGTGCTGTCTCCTGGCATGCTGTCCTAGGCTCAAGTCCTGTCTTTGCTGGTGGACTTTGGGCCAGTGATGGGCCCTCCCCCTCTAAAGAATAAAGCAACTCGTCCTACTTCCGGCGACAAGGATGAAATGACACTGTGGATGTGAAGTGCTGAGCGGCCAACAAAGTCAGGGATCAGCCGAGTAAAAACCGTAGCTACTGTTACTGTCATTATGGCTGGGGAGGGGGGAGGGGGTCAACCCCAGACTGTCCTCTGTCCTTGAACCTTTCCCATCCCTGAACTTGCCCCGTCTCTGACTGTATCATGTTGCTGGCTAGGAGACCAGGGAGGTGGCTGGGGCAGGGGCCAGGTGCAGGGAAGGTGCAGGGGAAGGGAAGGGGCTGGGAGAGATGCTCAGAGGGGATAGTCAGAGGCAGGGAGAGGAGAGACTAAGGAGCAGACAGAGGGGGAAACTGAGTCACATGGGAGCAGGTCCCAGGTCCCAAAGGCCTCCTCACCCCTCCGCTCTCCACTTGGGGCTCTGACCGGCACCTCCTCTCCTCGGGAACCCTGTGCCTTCCACATCCATTCCCAGATCCGAGCCCTTCCCCCACCCCCGCCCCCACCCCTGGGCTGAGTCCTGCCCATGTCACACCCACCCAGCACCCTCTATCCCAGGCCCCCTCCCTTTCACGACCCGCCCCTGCTCTCACCGTGACCTTCCACTGATTCTGCTCCAGCCGTAGGGTGAAGTTAGCCACCTGGACAGTGATGACCTTGGTCACGCTGACCCTCCCATTGCCCCAGGCCACATTTTCCTGCAGGACGGCGAAGGACTCCAGGCCGGGCCGGGTCCCGCAGGTCCGAGCCAGCGCATACACGCAGGTGCCCATGAAGTCGAAGCGGCGGCCGTCGAAGGTGGTGTAATGGGGGTCTCCCGATGCCTGGCAGGTGGCAGAGCCCACGGCCACGCAGCCCAGGATGCCTCCGGCTGGCCGGCAGGCCTCGTGCGGCCCGCAGGTGGAGGGCTCACAGGTCACCAGGCCGCCCTCCTGGCAGCGGCACAAGGAATCGCACCCGGGGCCCGGGTGGAAGGTCTGGCCCGGCGGGTGGTAGATGCCCTGGTAAGTGCAGCCGCACGCGGGCAGGGGCACGCAGGACTCACCGCTGAGCGCGAAGCCCTCGTCACACACGCAGCCCTCGTGGCAGTCGGAGCCACAGCCCCCGGGCACTGGGAGGTCTCCGCAGGACAGCGGGCAGCCGCGGGAGCACGCCTCGTAGTGGCTGTGGGGCGGGCAGCTCAGAGCTGTGGGGAGAGCCGCTGTGAGCATCACGGGCCCCGCTCCCTGGCGACGCTCATGCAGGCACACGCGTGCTCCCATGCTCACACGTAAGCGGCCCGTGCAGGGAGCCCTCTGTATAATCTGTCTACTCTGTGAGATCATCTTCTCGGGGAGGGGGGGATGATATCACAGTGAATCTGGTCCTGATAAGTAGGATTCGACTCCAATTTCACTGTGGTTGATGGTTATCTGTAATGTCTTTAATGACATATTTTAAAATGTTTATTTGTTTGTTTGTTTTGAGAGACAGAGCATGAGTTGGGGAGGGGCAGAGAGAGGAAGAGACACAGAATCCAAAGCAGGCTCCAGCTGCTGACAGCTCAGAGTCCGACACGGGGCTCAAACTCATGAACTGAAAGATCAAGACCTGAGCTGAAGTTGGACACTTACATGACTGAGCCATCCAGGCGCCCCTTTAATGACGTATTTTAAGCAAATATGTGCAGGTACAGTGTGTGTGTGATCAATGCAATGTATTCATGAATACAGTGTTTTTGATTTCTTCCTTCTCTGGGAGAGATATAGTAGTAGCAAATTAAAATATGTGGCCTGTGTTGTGAAGAGGAAAAGAATAATCATTCCTCTGTCCCAACTCCAGTCGCTCCAAACTATACAACAGGTGGTTTCCTTGAAACAAAACAAAAAAACTAAAACTGAGCCAAATAAAGTCTCTATCTGTGCTGATGTGATAGCCACTTGTGGCCATTTAAATGTAAGTTAATTACAATTTTAAAAACAGAAGATTGGGTCACCTGGTGGCTCAGTCAGTTGAGTGTCCTACTCTTGATTTCAGCTCAGGTCATGATCCCAGGGTCGTGGGATTGAGCCCTGGTGTCGGGCTCTGTGCTGAGCATGGAGGCTGCTTAAGATTCATTCTCACTCTCTCTTTCTCTCCCTCCCTCCCTCTGCCTCTCTCCCCAGCTTGTGCACAAGCTCTCTCTCTTTTTCTCTCTCTAAAATAAAATAAAAAAAAAAAACAAGACTTAGTTCCTAGGTCACACTAGCCCCATTTCAAGTGCTCAATACATGACTGGTGGCAATCATACAGCGTAGCTCAGGGACAGAACATTTCTATCATCACCAAAGTTCTATTGGACAGCACTGTTTGAGATCTCATAACCAGCTTACAAGAGAATCAGGGGACAGAGGGACAAGTTAAATAACACTACAAAGAACCAACTAGCCAAGTCCACAAAGTAGGAAATTCTGCAGGACAAATGACTCCTCCCCTCACCAATAAATAAATGGTACAAACAAAACAGATAGAGGGACAGATATGTGATAAAGCAAGTACAGTGAAATGTCGACTGTAGAATCTAGCTGGTAAGTGTATGGGTATTCACTGTAAAATTCTTTCCATCTTTCTATACACTTGAAAAATTTCATAATAATATGTTGCCAGAAAATGGAAAAGTGCTATTATAGGATAAAAATGATTTAAGGGTGTCTGGGTGGCTTAGGTGGTTGAGTGTCTGACTTTGGCTCATGTCATGATCTCACGGGTTCGTGGGTTCAAACCCCACATCGGGCTCTGTGCTATCAGCATGGAGTGTGGAGCCTGCTTTGGATTCTTTGTCTCCCTCTCTCTCTGGGCCCCCTCCCCCACACTTGTGCTCTCTCTCTCTCAAAAATAAACACTTACAAAAAAAATTTTTAATGATGTAAGAAAAACCAACCCAATGCAGTATGTGGATTTGGTCTGGATCCAGAGTCAAATAAACTGAAAAAACACATTTTTAAAAAATTTTAGACAATTGGGGTAATTTGAACCTCAGTTGAATTTTAGATGATGTTAAAGAATCAGTGTTATTTTTGTTACTGGTAATAACCGCATTGTGGCATGTTTCTTTAAAGGTGCTATCTATGGGGCGCCTGGGTGGCTCAGTCGGTTAGGCGTCCGACTTTCGCTTGGGTCATGATCTCGCGGTTTGTGGGTTCGAGCCCCGCGTCGGGCTCTGTGCCAGCTCAGAGCCTGGAGCCTGTTTTGGAGTCTGTGACTCCCTCTCTCTCTGACCCTCCCCTGCTCACGCTGTCTCTCTCTCTCCTAGAAATAAATAAAACATTAAAAAAAATTTTTTTTAAAAATAAAATATTTCAACGAAGGCTGGCTCCGCTGGTAGAGCATGGGACTCTTGGTCTCAGGGTTTAAGTCTGAACTCCACACTGAGTGTAGAGGTTGGTTAAAAGTAAAATCTTTAGAATTTTTTAAATAAAAAAATAAAAATAAAATATTTCAGCAAAATAAAAAAACACAAAGGGAACTATTGGGGGGAAAGTTGCATCCATCTCACTAAGAGATGCCTTTCCAATACATTCTGCTTTTCATGTTTATATGTTTTATGTTTTTATATGTTTTCATGTTTATATCTTTTAGTATTTTTCTGTTTTAATATATTTATATAAATATTAATATATTACTGTTTTATATGCTCTATCAGTTGTGTACTAATGATATTTGCAATGATAACTCATTTCATCTTTTTTTTTTAAAGATGGGCCTTGATATAGGCCAGAGTTTTTTTTTAATGCTTTATTTCTGAGAGAGAGAGAAAGAGAGAGAGAGAGAGAGAGAGAGAGAGAGAGTGAGATCAACAGCTTGAGCAGGGGAGGGTCAGAGAGAGAGGGAAGCACAGAATCTGAAACAGGCTCCAGGCTCTGAGCTGTCAGCACAGAGCCCGACACGGGGCTCGAAACCACGAACCGTGAGATCATGACCTGAGCCAAAGTCGGATGCTTAACCGACTGAGCCACCCAGGAGCCCCCCCTACTTTTTTTTTTTTAACACTTAGAATCTGATGGTCTCAGGAATTTCTAAAAATAATGAAATGTTCACATGTGTATATGTTTGTGGCAGAGAAGTATGATGGGGATTGGGACAGACTGAGAACAGCCACCCGGTCTTCTGGGCTTGGCCACACTACTGGCTTTGGCCAATGGAATAACAGCAGATGTGACGCCAAGCAGAGGCCTGAAGTGTGTTTGCCTACTGAGGCTTGTCCACTCTTGCTGTTCTTTGGAATGTCGAGACTGCTGTGTGAGGAAGCCTGTGCTAGCTGGCTGGAAGATGAGGCCAAGTGGAGCAGGGGCAAGCCGTCCTCGATAAGGTCCCCCAAACCACCCAGCCTGCCAGTTGTGTAAAGTCTGGCCACTGTAGACCGTCCAGCCCTCACAGGACTGCCAGTAGGACTGCAGTGATAAACCATGCTGGCCCAGATTAGAACAGCCCAGCCCACAGACTCATGAGAAAACAATATCACTTTTAACTTTGGGGATATTTGTTACACAGCAAAAACTAACCCATGCAGTGATTTAAAAAGAGGCTTTCTGGAGTGCCTGGGTGGCTCAGTTGGTTAAGCGTCTGACTTTGGCTCAGATGATGATCTCACATATTGTGGGTTTGAGTCCCGCATCAGGCTCTGTGCTGACAGCTCAGAGCCTGGAGCCTGCTTTGGATTCTGTGTCTTCCTTTCTCTCTGCCCCTCCCCTGCTTTCACTCTGTCTCTTTCCTCTCTCTCTCTCTCAAAAGTAAATAAACATTAAAAAAAATTTTTTAAATAAAAAAATAAAAATACACTTTCTGGAGCACCTGGGTGGTTCAGTGGTTTAAGCATCCAACTCTTGAAAATGGCTTAGGTGATGATCTCATGGTTCATGAGATGGAGTCCCATGTCGGACTCTGCACTGACATCCCAAAGCCTCTCTCTCTCTCTGTCCCTTCCCCACTCATGCACGTGCATGCTCTCTCAAAAAAAAAAAATGACTTTTTTTTTTAAAAAGAGATTTCCATATATATATATTACATTAGGTTATGTTCTGCTGGAACTAAAAACCATAAGATGGTCAGTTCAAGAGAGCAAGAATTTTTTCCCCTTTTTTCTCCCCCATTATATCCTCAGTGGTTGGAACATAGTAGGTGTTCAACAAATATGTGTTGAATAAATGAATGAATGAATATAAGTTGAAGGGGAAAAAGAAATGATGTGACATTCATGTATTTATCATGTGTATTTCAACAGAGAGCGATATGTACCATCCTGGCAGATACTGTAAATGAGTGAAGTAGACCAGATGGTCCAGAAAAACGGGAGAGGGGACCAGGGTCAGGCTTCTTCTAAAGGCAGCACTGCTACTTATCTCTGAATGACCCCTGCCATAGGAATTAGACCCAGGGCCATCAGATATTTTTGGCCATCTTACAAATATTTACTGCAACCATGACTTTCTAGCTGTACGTGATCCTGGGTGTGTAACTGACTCTCTCTAAGCCTCTCTTTCCTCATCTGATAAATGGGTATAACTACAGTCCCCACCTCATAATACTTCTGTCGGAGTTACATGAATTAACGATACTTATATGTTAGTGGACACAAACGAGGCTGAGCCCCCCGCCGTCACTCAGGTACTCACGGCAAAGCTCCTCACTCCTCCAGGGGTGCACGGTGGCCCCAGCGGCCTGGCACTCAGCAGCATAAGTGGCCAGTGCATCACACAGTGGCCCCGACTGGCCCGGCAGCAGGCAGCGGTCGTAGACGCAGTCACGCAGGGCGCCCTGTGGGTCCAGCTTGGCATGACACTCCCGGAAGGGCCCCTGAGGGTCGGCAAGGATCCCGCACTCCTTCTTGCTCTGCAGTTGCTGGGCCACCAGGGAATCCAGCTTGGGACAGTCACCTGGCTCGGTGGCCTCGCAGCCTGGCCTCGTCTCCTCCTGCCAGCTGTTCCCGAAGGCCAGCGCGTTGGGAGCTTGGCCTCCACCACGCAGGGCCAGGTCGTCACCTGGGTTCCCGTTGAAGTTCCCGCACAGGCCGCAAAGGGCCCCGCCATAGCTGCTGGGCACCTTGGCGATGACACGCTCCTTCCAGTTGTAGGTGACGGTCAGGCCAAAGTCCGTGCGCACAACGGCGTCTTGACCCTGGAGGAACACCTGCACCTGGCCGTCTGCGGCCTGGAAGGGCAGGTGCTGAAGGACGCCATCCACCTGGGTAGAGGTGAAGGAGGTCCACGGGGTCAGCGTATTCATGGCTCTGTGTCCCACCCTTCACTCACTTGCCTCCAAATATTCTCAACTCCTTGCCGTTTGCTTTAGCACATCATACTTGGTTCCCCCGCAGGGCCTTTGCACTTGCTATTCCCTCTGTCTGGCACACCATCTACCTCTCTTACTGGCTTAAATCCAAATCCCTAACCCATGGCCTTCAGAGCCTACAGCATCTGTCTCCCCATTACCTCCCTGACCTTCCTGCCTCCTACTCCCCCCGCCTCACTCAGTCTGTTCCAGGCACACTGGCTGTCTTGATATTCCTCCACTTCTCTCAATTTAGTCCAACTTTAGGGCCTTTTCACTTTGCTGAGAACATCACCCACCACTTTTCTCCTGGCTGCTTGTCCTTCAGCCTTCAGGACTTGGTGCAGATCCAAGCCCCTTCCGACAGGGTCTAGTTTGACCTTGGCCCTGTCCACCTTTGTACCGGCATCACCTACCATATTGCTCACTCAGCCTCCTTGCTGTCTCCCTGAACACATCAAATGCACTCTCACCTCATGGCCTTTGCACTTGCCATGCCCTCCTCCTAGATACCCTCTCCCCAGTACTCTTTCCTTGCCCAGTGCTACTTCATCTGTTAGGGGTTAGCTTCGATCCAACCCCCTTATGATGGCTTAAAAGGCCCCAGGTGATCTGAGCCTCGCTACTCTCCAATCTCTTCTATAGTACTGTCCCATTCCCCGCCCCTGCGACTCCAGCCACGCAGCCATTTTGACCTCCTGAACCCAGCAAGCTCAGCCCAGCCTTGGGGCCTTTGCGGTACCTTCTGCTCGCGACATTCCTACGTTCCTACTGTCTTCCGCATCCCTATTCTTTGCCTGGTTACCTCCCCATCACCCTTTACGTCTTGGCTTAAAACAGACCCCCTCTCCCCCCACTTTTCTGACCTCATCTCCTACCACCCGCTCTGCCCCTTCTCTCCAGCCTCACTCTCTGGTGCAGCCACACTGGCTCCATGCTGCTCTCTTGAGTCTTCAAGCTCAGTCCAGCCTCAGCCTTTGTATCTGCTGCTCCCTGTTTCCAAACCACCACCCTTCACTCTCTTTTGTCCTTCAGATTTTGGTTTAAATCAAGACCTCTATCACAGCTGTCCCCTAAATCATCCCCTGCCCCCACTCCAGCCCCCTAGGCCCCCAGGCTGTTCCTCTGCCCCTCATGTTTGTTCCTGCCTCAGGGCCTTTGCACTCACTGTTCCTTCTGCTTGGAGTACTCTTTCATCTACTTCTGTCCCTGTCTATTTCATCTCTTTCCTCAGGAGAGGCAGGAGGATGTCATGTTAAGAGTATGGTCCCTGGATGGGGCGCCTGGGTGGCTCAGTCGGTTAAGCAACCGATTTCGGCTCAGGTCATGATCTCGCAGTTCATGGGTTCGAGCCCCGCGTCAGGTTCTGTGAAGGCAGCTCAGAGCCTGGAGCCTGTTTCTGATTCCGTGTCTCCCTCTCTCTCTGCCCCTCCCCCTCTCATGCTCTGTCTCTCTCTGTCTCAAAAAATAAATAAACTATAAAATATTAAAAAAAAAATAAAAAAGAGTATGGTCCCTGGAGCCAAACAGCCTGGCTTCAAATTGTGACTCGGTCACTCATTAGCTGTGTGACCTTGAATAGATGGCTTAGCCTTTCTGTGCCTCAGTTTCCTCATCTAGCTATTTCACAGAGTTGTTGTAGAGATTCAGTGAGTTAGTCTATGTCAAGCATTTAACACCTAGGAGTAATGTCATATGTATTGGCTATTATTATTTCAGACTCAGAGAGATGGGAACATAAATATCAATTGTTATGCCCTCTGTTTATCTAGAAGTTTCTCTATGCCAAACACTCGGCTTTATGGGCAAAACTTCCTTCACCGTGAGGTCATTCTGAGGACTATGACTTAAGGCCTGTAAAGGGTTCAGGGGTGGTGCCTGACACACGGAGATTTCTTTCAGTTTTCCATCCATTTCCAATTCATCCTTCTCTCACTGGAGTTGTGAATCTTACAACCCCACCTCTTGATTTTTATCTTTTTTTTTTTTTTTAAGAGAAAATTAGTGGTTCGTGACTTCTGCTGTGTGGCAGACGTGCTGACGGAAGGCGGCCCTGAGACAAAACCTGGAGAGACAGTCAACGGAAGAGACAGCCACAGGGCGAAGGAGAGGCAGCACCGCCAGCTTGGGGCCCAGGACATAACCACATGTCTTTGAACAGATCCCCAGCCCTACCTGGGGTTCAGAGCCCCTACTCCTGAAGAGGGATTTCCTGCCTCCCCTCTAGTACCCCCCCCCAGCCGGGAACCCCACATCACTCACCAGCACTTGCCCGGGGTACTCCCGGCGCACCTCCACCTTCACGCCGCGGGTCTCCACGCGCACGGCGCGCGTGTAGCTCACGGTCTGGCTGCCCCGGTGCTCGTTTTCCACCAGCACCCGGAAGGCAGGCAACCCCGCGGCCTGGCCGCACGAGCCGGACAGCAGGTAAGTGCAGGTGCCCATGAAGTCGAAGCGCCGGCCGTCGAAGCTCACGTAGTGCGGGTCCCCGTACCCCTGGCAGCTCCCAAAGCGGTCGGGGTAGCAACCCAGGAGGCCATTCTGGACACGGCAGCGCTCGCCCGCTGGACAGCCCTGCGTGTCGGTGCAGCGCACCTGCTGGGTGGCGCCGTCGCAAGTGCAGCGCCGTCGGCACTGCTCGTCCGCCCACACCTGCTGGCCCGGGGCGAGCGGGCGGCCCTGGAAGGTGCAGCCGCACGACGCGGCCGCCACGCAGCCGCCGCCGCTGGCCACGAAGCCTGGGAGGCACACGCAGCCCTCCACGCACGGGCGGCCGGAGCAGTTGGACGGCGCCGCCTCCGAGTTGCAGGTGGCCGGGCAGGCGGGGCCGCACCGCTCATAGCGGCTGTTGGGAGGGCAGGACAGGGCTGCGGGGAGACGGAGAAGGGGAGGGTGCTCAGGCGGGTGCGAGGGTGTTGCATTGTTGCATTGGCTGTCCCCTTTCCTGGCAGGGCGCCCTGCCCAAAGCGCTCAACAGGGACTCCCCCCTCCCCCCCGCCCCCAATCATGCTCCTGCCCCAGAGCTCCGAATGGCACTTCCATCCCTCCAGGTGCTGGGACCCCAAACCTCAGAGACACAGTTGACTCCTTTCCCTCTTCGCTCACAGACGACCAATCTGTCAGGAAGTCCATCACCTCCCTCCTCCTCCCCCCTCCCTCTCCCTTTGGCTCACTCTGTCCCAGCCACAGAGGCTTCCTCACAGGTCCTCACGCTCCCACCTCAGGGCCTTTGCACTGGCTGTTCCTGATGCGTGTAGTGGCCTTTCCTCCGAAGGCAGTGCAGCATGTGGCTAAGAGAAAGCTGCTGGAGCCTGGACAGCCTGGGTTCAAATCCCAGTCTCCCCTTCCTAAGCTGTGTGATTGTGAGCAAACGACTCCATTGGCTCCATGCCTCAGTTTCCCCATCAGTAAAATGAGATAGTAATAGTACTGACGTCACAGGGTGGTGAGGGGTAAACGAGTTAATCTATGCAGAGACACCCCATTGTGTCATTGTTACTTAGCTCACTCTATTGCCCTTTGCTGCTCTCGGCTCCCATGTCACCTGCTCAGAAAGGCCTTCCTATGAGCCTCCCATTTCCTCTTCTTACACAAAGGCCCTTTCTTTTGCTCTTTGAAGATATTCCACAGTTTACTGCTTACTGTCTGTCCCCCCTGCTGGAATATGAACTCTGAGAGCAGGGATCTGATCTGCCTCAACCTCAGCTGACTCGCCAGCCCCAAGGACAGGTCTGGCCCACAGGAGATGCTCGCTCATTCCACCTCTGCACCAGGCCCTGGGGAGCTCGGGGGGGCGGGCGTTTGCTGGGCATCGAGGACACAGGAGTGACCAAGACAAATCCCACATGGCCTCAGTGTCTCCCCAAGACTTACTCCTCCTCTGGAGTCCCTGTCTCAAGCCCTAGGCCTGGGTCTGGGCACATCTCCTTCCCTGCACACTAGACTTTCTGTCTCCAGAAAATTTCTTTGGGAGCCTCACAAGGGAGGGTCAGGGGGGGCCAGCACACACCAGCAGAGGGATGGGGCCAGACAGGGGCCCCTATGAATGAGTGAATGAGTAAGTGGATGGAACCTGACTAAGGAGCTTGGACTTTACCCAGAGGGCATCGGGGGAGCCGCGAAAGGGCTACAAACGAAGAGCTGTTCACATTTCTGCTTTGGGACTCCGAGGACGATGTCTCATGCCGGCTCCTGCACGTGCTCCTCTCTCACCCCCGAACCTGCTTCCTGCTCCCCTTTATTCTGCCTAGTGTCAGTTCCTCCTGCAGCTTTCAGATTGGGCATCCCTTCCTCTGGGAAATCCTCCCTGACCCCGCCAGGCAGAGTCAAGCAGTTTTCCTGGCCACTCGGCCTGTGCCTCCCCGAGCCCAGCGGGGATGACTCGGGACTGTCACTGGCTAGTGATGTGTCTGCCCCAACCTCAGGCTCAGCGCGGGCACCGTCTGGCCACCTCAGCCATCCCTGTGTTCCTGGCGCGGTCCAGCTTCAGGCTGAACCACACACAAGAAGTGCTCAGACCCTGAGGGGCTGCAAGGAGTCCCGGGCCTTCCCACCGCGAGCTCCCAGCCCCCCCAGGGCATCGACTCACGACAGTTGGCTGGTGACCTCCAGTCTCCGACAGAGATGCCGTGCTCCAGGCAGGCCTGGGCGTAGGCGCTGAGGCTGCGGCACAGGCTGGACCGGTCCCCGCTGAGCACACACAGGTCGTACACACACTCCTCCAGGAAGGGCCGGGGCGGCAGCGCGCTGTGGCAGGCGGCAAAGGGGCCATCGGGCTGGGTCAGCATGCCGCAGAGCCGGCTGCCCTCGTAGTGCTGGGCCTGGCCCGCGGTGCAGGAGGGACAGTTGTTTTGGCAGCCGTCGTCACACAGGAAGTCCCCGTCGTCCAGCTTCCAGCTACTGGCGAACTCCATGGGGTCCGGCGCCAGCTCCTCCTCGGGCGTGAGGAAGTCGTCGGCGGGGTTGCCGTTGTAGTTGCCACACAGTCCGCACACCTGCTCTCGGAAGCGCTCGGGCAGGCTCAGGGCCAGCTGGCAGTCCCAGTCGTAGGTGACCACCAGCCCGAAGTCCAGCTCCACCACGCCCCGCGTCCCACTCTGGTACACGCGCAGGCGACCGTCGGCCAGGGAGGCGGGCAGGCGCGAGCGCTGGTTGTCGATCTGTGGGGGGGAGGAGCGGGTGGTCAGATCCCGTGTGCTCTGCCTTCGCCCCTTCCCCCCTCTCTCCCTTCCCCTGCTCCAGCCGGGATTCCTTCCTCCTGCTGCTGCCACCAACCAAGCCCTGGGCTCCCTGCCCTTGCTTCCCTGTGGCCTGAAAGGTTCTTCCCCGAGACGTACGTGTGGTTCACTCCCTGGTCCCTTACACAAGCTTTGCTCAAATGTCACCATGGCAGTGACATGCCCCTATTCTGTGCGGCAACCCTTCCCTATGCTGTATTCCTCTTCCCTGCTCTGTTTTTTTTTTTTTTCCTATAGCTTCTAAGGCTTCTAACATATCATCGGCACACTTCTCATGTTTATCGTTTGCCTTGCCCCGTAGACTGTCAGCCCCACGAAGACGGGAGTTTGGTCTGCTTTGCTCACTGCTCCGTCTCCAGTGTCTTGAATGGTGCCTGGTAGGATCGCAAGTGCTCAGTAAGTGAAGGGAGGCATTGCTGCGTTAGACGACCATTCACTGGGCACTCCCTCTGTGCCTGGCCCTGGCCGGGAGATCCCGGGCACACAGTGGTCATCGACACAACCCAGAGCCTGCTCTCATAGGGCTCCCAGTCCAACAAGGGAGACAGAACTGTCACGAGATCAGAGCGACAGATCAGAGTGATCAGGACTGGGATGGTGGACGCGCAGGACGCTGTGGGCGTCTAGAAGAAGAGCCAGACGCAATCTTGCAGGTCAGGGGAGGCTTCCTGGAGGCAGGGACAGCTGAGCTGAGCTGTTAAAGGATCAGTGAGGGAGAGCCAGAGAGACATGGGGAAGGGGATTCCTTCGCAAATATCCTAAGTGGAGACAGAGTCAGGCCAGGAGATAAGGAGTGTGTCTCTCTGTCTTTTGGGCCCAGTTTCCTCTTTCTGAGTGTTTCTTTTTAACTTTTTCTTCCCATATGCTTATCTTAGCTAAGAGGATGGGGTATGAAAAAAATAAAAGGAAAAAGAGGCAGAGGGGACCGCAGGAGGTAAGATAGATCTTCATTCAGTCAGTGGGTCAGCAAGGCCTCCGTGAGCCCTCCTGTGTGTCCAGGACCGTGCTGGGCAGTGCTGTGGATGCAGCCGTGACCAAGACACTCACGGGCTCTGGGCCCAGGGAGCCTATACTTATCTCTATTTTTAAATGACACAAGTAATAGGCGCTCATCACAGAAAACTTACAAAATCCTCATGAGAAAAAAATCAGGAGAGAGAAATCACTCACATTGCTGTGGACACACGTGTGTGCATGCATGCGCACAGAGGTACATTTAAAAATCTGCCTGCTGGGGTTGTTTTTTCTACCTTTTAATTCATGATTTTTTTTTTCTTTTTAAATAATGAGACCCTGCTGAAGTCCCCATTTCATGAAGCCCTCTTTTCTCCTAGCAATGTTTCGGGGATATCCTATCATGATTTTTTTTAATGTTTTTTTTTTTTTAGTTTATTTATTTATTTGTTTAGAGAGAGAGCACAGGTAGGGAAGGGGTGGAGAGAGGGAAAGAGGATCTCAAGCAGGCTCTGCACTATCACCGTGATAACACATTGTAAGCCCCATGTGGGGCTCGATCCCATGAACTGCAAGATCACGACCTGCACCGAAATCAAAAGTTGGACGCTTAACTGCCTAAGCCACTCAGGCACCCCTAATGTTTTTTTTTTTTTAATTTATTATTTTGAGAGAGAGAGAGAGAGAGAGAGAGAGAGAGAGGGCAGGGGAGGGGCAGAGAGAGAAGGAGAGAGAGAATCCCAAGCAGTCTCCGTGGTCGGCATGGAGCTCGGGGCTTGATCTCAAGATCAAGACATCATGACCTGAGCTGACATCCAGAGCTGGACGTTTAACGGACTGAGCTGCCCCAGGCACCCTGATCATGATTCTATCAGGAGCTCTAAACCTCTGTTGAGTCACCGACCTCTGTAAGGATCTGACAAAAGGAAGAGGGCCTCTCTCTCTCTCTCTCTCTCTCCCTCTCTCTCTCTCTGAAAACCTGCACAGCCTGTTCAAAGTTCCTCACGTAACTTCTGCAGCTGGAAGTCCCTCTGCACTGCTGCTCAGTCCCTCTAGGTCTGGAGAACACCTACTTGAATCCACTTACTGATCCGGCTCCCAGATCCACCCACACGCGCACAAAACAAGGGAGGTACAAGGCTGTTCAGCGCTGTGCTGGTGGCTATCGTGGAAAAAGCCTCCATCCGCGGGGGACTGAGTTGAATGAATGACGAGGCATCCATCCAATGGAGAACCGTGCGGATGTAAAAAAACAAAAACAAAAACAAAAAAAAAGGAAAGAAAGCAGAGGCTCCCTTCAGGCTGATTTGGAAACCGCTCCAAAAGGTACCACTCAGTGCACAAAGCAAAGAGCAGAACAGAGCAGACGGCACAGTACTCTTGGGTAAGAAAGGTGAGAGGGAAGAATGCACTGTTTACGCTGCTTGTACTGGCATAAAGGAACCCTAGGGGAACCCGCAAGGAATCAACAAAACTAGCTACCTGTGGGGAGCAGGGGCAAAGCAGATGAAGACGGGGATGAAAGCCGGACCTAGGGGCGCCTGGGGCTCAGCACGTTAAATGTCTTAGGACACTTGATTTCGGCTCAGGTCATGATCTCGTAGTTCATGGTGTTCAAGCCCCATGCAGGGCTCTGCTCTGACAGCTCAGAGCCTGCTTGGGATATTCTCTCTCTCTCTCTCTCAAAAATAAATAAACATTAAAAAAACCAACAACAGAAAGAAAACCAGGGGCACCTGGGTAATTCGGTCGGCTCAGCGTCCGACTTCAGCTCAGGTCATGATCTCACTGTCTGTGAGTTTGAGTCCCGTGTCAGGCTCTGTACTGACAGCTCAGAGCCTGGAGGCTGCTTCAGATTCTGTCTCCCTCTCTCTCTGTCCCTCCCTCCCTCACACTCTGTCTCTTTCTCTCTCAAAAAGTAAATAAACATCAAAAAAAATTTTTAAAAAAAGAAAGTCAGACCTTTCACAACATACCCTGTTTGTTCTGAGCTATGTGAATGCTCTACCTATTAAAAAAAATTAATCACATCATCATGGAAGAAACTTACGAGTATTGTACTGGGCAAAAGAGGCTTTACGCAAAGAGCTCCTTATGCTGTGTGATTCCGTTCATGTGAAGTTCTTGAACACGCACACACACACACACACACACACACACACAGAGTTCCTGAACAGGGAAAACTAATCCATGGTGGAAAAAAAAATCAGAACTGTGGTTGCCACTGGTAGTGGGTTGGGATTGTTTAGGAAGGGGAATGAAAGAATGTTCCAGAATGATGAAAATATTCTGTATCTTTTTTTATTATTTAAAAATTTTTAATGTTTATTTATTTTTGAGGGACAGAGAGAGACAGAGGGTGAGCAGAGGAGGGGCAGAGAGAGAGGGAGACACAAAACCAGAAGCAGGCTCCTGTGCTGACGGCTCAGAGCCTGACGTGGGGCTCAAACCCAGAACCCACAAATCATGAGATAATAACCTGAGCCAAAGTCTGACGCTTAACCGACTGAGCCACCTAGGCACCCCAAAAATATTCTGTATCTTAATGGAGGTCTGGGTTGCACGTTTGTCAAAACTCCTTGACTTGAGATTTATGTATTTTATTATTTGCACATTTGATATCAAAAGTGAACAAAACAGTGATAAAATATTGTGTAAGGCAGAATGGTGAAGAGGTTAAGAATAGAGACTCAGAAGCCAGCCTGCCTGGGTTCCCAGCTCCATCTCTTACTGGCTCTGGGCCCTTGGGAAGTCACCCCTCTCCCTGGACCTCAGTTTCCTTTTCTAGAAGTAATAATAATAATGCGGGGCGCCTGGGAGGCTCAGTCAGTTGAGCGTCTGACTCTTGATTTTGGCTCAGGTCGTGACCCCAAAATCATGGGATGGAGCCCTGTGGTCGGGACTTGGGATTTTCTGTTTGGGACTCTCTCTCTCTCCTCTCTCTCTGCCCCTCCCCTGCTCACACTCAGGAGTGCTCTCTCTCAAAAACAAACAAACAAAAACGAAAACAACAATAACACCTACCCCCACAGATCACTGTGAGCACTCAATGCATTAATACATGGAAATCACTAAGAAACAAATCCAGGACATAGCAGGGCTCACTAAGTTTAGTGTTTGGTCCCTTAAGAAATTCCCCGTTATTGGACATTTTGTTGCCTTTTTTTCCTGTTGCTATCACAATTGACATTGGCAGAAACTTTTATTTTTTCTGAACCATATTTCTGAGTATCCTTTAATTTTCTAGAAGTAGAATTACCGGACGAAATGGATTTAAACGCTCTGCCAGTTTCAAATTCCCGCCTCCCCCCACCTCCTCCCACCTCCCCCCTCTGCCCCCTCCGCCCGCTCCGCCCCAGCCTTTGCCTCCTGCTTCCAACTGGAGGCTCCTAGGTATTCAACCTGAAGCCTCTGGATACTCACCCGGGCGAAGCCGACCTCCCCGCGGACCAGCGATACGGAGTGGCTGTAGGCGCGCACGGTGACCAGGCCCACGTACGAGACGCGGCGGCTGCCCCGGTGCTCGTTCTTGGCCTCCACGCTGAAAGCGGGCAGGCTCTGGTCCTCGCTGCACAACTCCACCACGGTGTACAGGCACGTGCCCATCATGTCGTAGCGGCGGCCGTCGAAGGTGGTGTAATGCGGGTCACCCTGGGCGCGGCAGGTGGCCACGGGGACCGCCACACACCGGGCCTGCCTGCCCACCACCTGGCACTGCTGCTGGGGAGTGCACTGCACGTTTTGGCAGGTCTCCTGGGCTGGGGAAGGCGGGGGAGGGGCAGCAGAGAAAGAGTCAGGAGTATCGTTGCTGGTGGGAATCCCGGAGCTCTCCTGCTGCGAGGACCCATTTTAGAAGTGGGGAAACTGAGGTCTGGAACTTCACAGGGAGAGAACCGCCCAGGCATGACCCACCCCCAGGTCCTCTGAGTGTTTGGTCCCTGTTATGATTAATCACCCACCCCTCCCCCATTCTACCATGCAAACTCAAAGTGGCTCTTTAAAGTTGAGGGGCTTCCATGCTTGGGGTCGGAGGGGACGTTTTGGCCAGTGCTGGGGACCCTAATGTCCAGGGTCCTAGCTTGAGGCAGGGGGTCCACACAGGAAGAAATAGCAATTTCCTGCCTCCCAGTCTTCAAAAGCTCTTGTTTTCTGTCTGCTCATAAAAACGTACTAGACACCCCCTAAAAACTTTACAAATCTCACTTATTACCCCCTCACTACAATCCTGTGACAGCTATTATCTCCATTTTACAGACATGGAAACTGAGGCCAACAGAGGTGAGGTCACATGCCTGCCCAAGGTCGCCCAAGCAGAGGTGGGATTTGAACCAAGGAAGTCTGGCTTTAGCATGTATGACTCTGGCACCACAGTGTACTGTTTGGGGGCAGCTCTGAGCCTAAGTTTACACATAAGGCCGGGTCCTAGAAATTCACTATATTAACACATGCAAGGCACCTAGAATAGTCTCTGGTATGTTGAGAGGTAACTCCCCCCAGCATGGTAGCCATCATTATGATCATACTTTCAGACCTCCTGAGCTACGGTATAAACTTTCCTATATAAGGTGGGGGAATGGTAGTTAGCAACTGGTATAGTGGCTAAAATATTAAAGTATTTCCGTGGCGCATGGGTGGCTCAGTCGGTTAAGCACCTGGCTTCTGATTTCGGTTCTGGTCATGATCTCACGGGTTTGTGAGTTCGAGCCCGGCATCAGGGTCTGTACTGACAGTGAGGACCCTGCTTGGGATTCTCTGTCTCCCTCTCTCTCTCTCTCCCTTCCCTTCCCTTCTCGATCTCTATCTCTCTCTCTCAAAATAAAGAAATAAGCATTAAAAATATATATCAAAATATTTCCAAATTGTTTGATAAGAAGCTGACCTGATCCAGTCCCTCCCCCTTCCCCAGAGATCCCTCCCTCCCTCCAGGCACGTGGCTCTTCCCTGGGGAAGCAGGGGAGGGAGGAGCTGGGAAGCCTTAGGGAAGGGAGGGGTGGCAGAAGATGGAGGTGAGGTGGGGAAAGCCCAGCCTAGCCAGGAAGCCACAGGGGAGCAGGTAGGTGGGAAGAGGGAAGAGTCAAGCTAGCCTGGAAAGGGGCACCAGGGTCATTTCCCGTCACTTACTTCGGCCGCAGGCACCTACTGTCCCGTAGCTGATGGCGCTGGCCAGCCCAAAGGTGAGCAGCCCGAAGTTGGTAGTGGCCTCAATCATGTGGATGTTGTCAGCAGTGCCAAGCTCCACTTCGGCGTACGAGAACTCACTGCCTGGCACAGCTGTCCACAAGAGATCGGCCCCCACCCTGCGCCCTTCCGTGGTCAGCTCCTTAACAGCGTTCGTCCGGGCCACCACCACAGCCACGCCCTTAGCGCCTGGCATGCTCTTCACCACATAGCCAGGGCAGTAAGCCGCCACGTCCGGGATCAAGGTCAGGTAGGGGTCATAGGTGACTCCATCCCTCACGGCACCTGTGCCGAACTGCAGGACCTGGATGCCCACGTCTGCAGATAGGTAGAGGGGCTGGGACGGTCGGACCTCAAACTCGGCCACATCACCTGCCCGGAGCCCGCGGGAGCCGGTGGTGCCCCCCTGCTGGTAGGTGAGCTTCGTGGGCTGGCTGGCCACGACGTAGGCCAGGTCGTAGCGGGTCTGGGAGGACAGAGAGGGCACCACATAGTGGGTGCCCCAGGCGGACGTGGGCAGCAGCTGCTCTACCACATGGTTGCAGTTGGTGTGTTTCTGGGCGCAGCTGTGGCCGGAGAACACAGCCACGGGGCTACTGGCCGTGATCTTTGAGCCCGACAGTTCAGCGGTGCCCTGCACCTGGGCCACGCGGTAGGGCTCCAGAGTCAGGCTCAGGACACTGCCCGCTGGGTAGAACTTGTTGTTGAAGGTCACTGCCCCCACCAGCTGAATACTGACTGAGGCTCCCGCTGCCCCAGCCACCACAGCGAACTCCTTCAAGTGCTTGGAGGAGGTGCTGGGAGGCGTAAACACAAAATACTCAGTGCCCAGGGTATGGACGGGCCACAGCCGCGTCAGCTCTGCCGTGTCGGGCTTAGTGTTTACGGCCTGCGCAGAGATCGCGCGGTCTGAGCGGATCAGCACCGCTCGTCGGAAGGTATTACTGCCGACCATCTCAGCTTCGGCGCTGATGGTGACCATGACTGACCGCGCGGGCTTCACTATGACATTCTGGGAGGTGCCATCTGCCTGGCTGGCAATGGAGACTGAGGCGGGGCTGTCCGACAGGCTGGAGAGGAGGAGCTGGAGGGAGGCCTGGCGGTACCCTGGCAGGTAGTTCTGTAGGAAGGCTGCGAAGAATTCCACCTCCCCGGTGTCCTGGGGGTTCACCGAGGCCCCCTGGGTCACCCCTGAGGGGGAGAGAATGAGTTATGGCTCCGCTTGTCCAACCCTCCCCAGCAGACAAGTAACCGCTTGCACTGTGCCTAGATGCCAGGTTGAAATAGTGACTGGAGCATTTCCCCGCCCCCCACTCCCCGCCCCCCTTCTCCCTCTCCTTTCTTTTTATTCACCCACCGGCCTTTCTGGCTTTGGTTTTCTAAAACCCTGAACACTTCCAAAGGGGATCTCAGACTCCAAGGCCGATGGGGGCAGGCGAGCAATGTGAGTGTGAGAAACAGTCTGGGTGGGGAGTGTGCAAACCGGAGCATTCATACACCAAGGAAAGCGGGGTGCTGCTACCAGCTTCGGCCTGTTATTATGATGGTTTATGGGCTCTTTTTTTTTCTTTGTTTATGCCAGATCTTACCATGTTTTCAAGAGAAGCTGGCTCTTTGAATTTCCCTGGGAAATCTCCAACCCCAAATTGTTTTAAGTACTCTGGGGCTCAAACTGGCTGGATTCAGGTGCCTGTTACAGATTTCTGTCTTGATAAAACTTGGGTGGGGGTGTATAAAGGGGATAAAGGGAAGAAGATTATAGGAGTGTGGACAATATATCTCCTAGAAAGAGAGAGGAGTGTGTGCTTTTCAATACCCCCAACTAGGAAGAGATTCTCCAGGGCTGGGAAGGGGGGGAGAAGGAGGGGAGATCAGCAGGGCCTGGGAGAGGGCATGGGGGTTTATAGAAGGACTGTTTGCTGAATAAGGGGAGCGGGGAGGATGTCCCAGTGTCCCACGAGGCCAGGGGATCAGGGACAATGAAGGCTTCAAAAGTAACCTAAGCAGATGCTGACAGATTCCCACCTTTCCCCTAGTGCCCTGGTTTCATCTGAGACTCTGGGGCCTGGGCATAACCCTGGGGCACCGGGCACCAAGCCCTCCAAGAATGACTTTAGAGAAAATTTCCATCACCTCCGCAGAATGAGACTCAGAGTCAAAACGTTGGTTGAGTTACAGAAAATGGAGGAAGTGGTAGTTCTCACATACTTTAGTTTGCGGACCGTGTTTTTTATGTGCTTCCTTCTGGGACAGGGAGACAATGGGCAAATTCCACCACATTCCTCTGCAGAACCCACGGGACCCGTCTCCATCTCGGCTAGCTCGTGGGGGGCGTATGGACGGAGGCTGCTGACCCCCGCAGGCAGAGTGCCCCAGACCAGAGCAAGGACAGGGATGGGATCTGGGTCTGACTTACCCCACAGGAGGGTTGCTCCGGTCCAGAGTGTCCACCAGCTCCGCAGGGACCCCATGTCTGCAGTGGGGAAAGAGAGGGCGTCATAGGAGGCCAGTCTGGCCCCTCTGGCTGGACACTGTCCTGGAGAGGACAGAAGGGCCCAGTTTCAGGACAGGGGCAACCTGGGCACCAGGAAGGCTGAGGTGGGCTGGATCCTAGGGCCAGTGTGTGTGTGTATAGGGGAGTCAGATGTTCAGTAGGTCTGATTGGGGGTGGGGGGGTCAGGACAGGGCAAGGATGGGGAGTTGGGTGTCCAATGGTCTGGGGTTGGGGCGAGGAAGCCTGGAGCCAGGGGCCAGAGTAGGGGACCCGATGTCCCACTTCTAAAGAGGACCCCAGCCTGTCTCACCTGCAGGTCCCTGGAGCTGTGGGGCTGGCCCCTGAGCTGGGCTATATAGCGGAGTTTCTGCCCTCCTTGGGCCACACCCTGGGCCACCTATCAGGAAGATGGTGCCAACTTCCTGGAGGAGGCTGATGATCCCCGGGCCAGGTGGAATGGGGACCCTGAAGGCCTGGGAAGGGTGGAGGGCGAGCCCAGACACCTGGGCCCTGAGAGGGGTGTGAGAACAGCTGGTGGCTGTGGCCTGGGGGCCTTCTGGAAACTTCAGAACTGTAAGGGTGGTGTCCCTGAGGAAAACAGCTGGGGAGCAGGGTGCTGAAGGTCTGAGTCCCCGGGGGCAGGGTGGGGAGTAGGGACAGAAGGTGGTATTTGATCTTGTTTGGTGGCTCGATGGTTGGATTTCTTCTTTTCCCTCTTGCCAGGAAGAATCACAAAGGACCTACATCCGGGTTCTGGCTGGTCCCTAGTCCCCACAAGCTGATTCCTGGGCCCGAGCCATCCATATTCTGCATTTAGGCAGCGCTGTGGGGGTGGGGACAGGTGTCTGAGGTGGGCAGGAATCTGGGCACCTGACCTAGGCCAGCGGGTGCCTCCACCCCAGTCTACAAAATGGGAACATCAAAACTAGCCTCACCGGGCTTATCTCCCGGACCGTGCTCTGTACACCCTTGAGGACTGTAGGTGGGAGGCAGGCTCTTCTCGTGGGGCTCCCCCGTGGAGAGCAGGGTGGGAGCTTGGGGGCTGGGAGCTGTGTGTGAAGAAGGATGGGGGCCTCTGTTTCCTGGTTCCACGCAGACACCGGGATCTACTTCCTGGAGAATTATTTGTTTTCTGGGAGGTCTTTTTGCCCAGAGAAGAGACTGGCAGAACAGGCTTTGGGGAACTCTATGCCCCCATCACCCAGGATCTGCCTGGGATGGGAAATGGGGGCCTACGTCGCACATGGGGAGCAGAAGGGGCCGCTGAGAGGTGGTGTGGGCTTTCTGAGACCGGGTCTGTTCGTCCAGGGGAGCCGGCCAGGCCCAGGTCTTGCTCCCCTCCTCCCAACATCAGACTCATTGTTTGCTGGGGGCGTCTCCCCTGGAAAGGCAGCTGCAGGGCCTGGGAGCCCTGGACAACACCCAGCAGCTGCTGCCCCCAGGACTTCTCCCTCCTCTCTTATCACCAAAGCCTGGGCCTTGTGGTGGCTGGGGTGGGTGAGGACTCTGGCATTCGCCACACAGGGCAGGCTCCCAGAGCGGGAGAGAGAGAAAGGCTCACAGCTGAATGGCTCCCAAAGTCAACCAGGAAAATGAAGTGAGTAAACAGGGGACTGGATGAGAACCAGGAAGGTCAAGAAACGGGTGGGGGTTGGGGGGCTCATGGAAGTGGGAGCTTGGGGAGGAGTAGTGTCTGGGTCTCTGAGGGTCTGGGGGTGGGCCAGGGGGCAGGGAATTAGGGTGGGCCTCAGGGTGACTGAAGAGGGAAGCAAAGGCAGGAAAACCTTAGCTTGCAGCCCATTGACAGATGTCAGGGACCGAGGGTGTAACACTTCCCAAGGCGTTTATGGGCTCCTGAATGGCTCCATTTTTACCCTTCCTTAGAAACTAAAAGCAACCTTATCTTGACAATAGCTGAACCCTGCTTTCAGAATTTCCTTGGAGACCCGCGTTATCTGCCTCCTCTCCCTCCACAAACTTGAAAGTATATCATTAATCGCTCCTCACAACCCCAGTGCAGCTCTTTCTGCCCATGGGTCCTGTCTCTGTGCTTTAATGAAATCACCTTTTTGCACCAAAGACGTCTTCAAGAATTCCTTCTTAGCCGTTGGCTCGCAAACCCCACTTCATATTTCATCAGTGACCATGCCCCCCAATCTCCTCTAGGCCTTGAGGTCTCCCCTAGTTTGACCCTGGAGGGGAGGCTTTGTCCCCTCAAAATCCATTGCTGCCCTTTGTACTAGAAATGGGGTGGAAATGGGGAACCTCACCATTTAATATTTTGGATTTGACACCTATTGGGGCCTTCTTCTCACTTCTTTCAGGACCCAAGGGGGTGAGCGTGTGAATATGTGTGTGTGGTATGACACACCTGTGGTCTACCCCGTATCACATCTATTCTCAGAACTCCCTTGTCTATTCTTGGAAAACCCCTGTATATAACTTGTGGGGACCCTTCCTTATGGTCAAAGAAACACATCCATCCCTCCCCGAACCCCCAGTCCTCATTCTGAGCGCAAATGGCTGTTTGAATCTGAGCCTTCTGGCCTCTCTCTGCTCCAGGATCTGCAGGGGGCAGGCTTACACTAGTAAGACGTCTGGAGACCCCCAAACCCTCTGGCTTGCCTGGGGTTTACAGAAAGGGCACAACTGGAGAGAATTTACTCTCTGCAGCTAACTGCAGATGTATTGTTACATTATATTATTATATGAATTATTATTATTATTCCAGAATATGTCTCTTTGGGGGAACGATCCTTTCATCACCATGTAATTGCCCCTCCTCGTCTTAGCAATTTTCTTTGTCCTGAAGTCTACTTAATTTGATTTTAATGTAGTAACGTTTGGCTTTTTAAAGGTCATGTTTGCACAGCACATCTTTTCCCACCCTTTTACCCTTAACCTGCCAATATTGATATATTTCAGGTGAGTTTTAGGGGGACAGAATCATGTTTTTTAAATTCACTCTACCAATCTCTGTTTTTGATTTTGCATGATTTGGATAACTTACATCTAAAGTAATTATTGATGCTTGGGCTTAAGTTTGACATTTTATTACTCATTTTCTGTTTGTTTCCTCTGTTTCTTATTCCTGTCTTTTTGTTTTTACATTCCTGTGGGTTACATGAGCATTTTTTTTTTCTAGAATTCCATTTTGATTTATATTCTTAGTGAGTGTATTCCTTTGGACAATTTTCTTACCATTTGATCTAAGAATTACAATATGAATATGTGATGTATCACATAAGTCTAGCATCAGTATTTTACCACTTGGACTGAAGTACTGAAACTTTCCTTCTACGTCTATCCATTTACCTCCTCCACTTAATTTTTTTTTAATGTTTTATTTATTTCTGAAAAAGAGAGACAGAATGAGCAGGGGAGGGTAAAAGAGAGAGGGAGATACAGAATCTGAAGCAGGCTCCAGGCTCTGAGCTAGCTGTCAGCACAGAGCCCGACGTGGGGACTCGAACCCACGAACTGCGAGATCATGACCTAAGCCGAAGTCGGACACTTAAGCAACTGAGCCCCCCAGGCGCCCCTACCTCCTCCACTTAAAAATACATAATTGTTTTAAGCATTTCTTCCATCTGCATTGAGCACCATATCAGACAATGCTTTAGTTGTCTTGTACTTGAAGAGGAGTATGGAGAAATCAGTCTCTGCCTTCTTGTCTGAAACTGGAAGTCACCACTTCTTTTTTTTTTTTTAATGCGTATTTCTTTATTTTTGAGAGAGAGAGAGAGATTGAGAGATTAGGCAAGCAGGAGGGGGAGTGGGGCAGAGAGAGAGGGAGAGAGGGAACCCCAAGCAGGCTCTGTGGTGTCAGAGTGGAGCACAACGTGGGGCTTGATCCCACGAACTGTGAAATCATGACCCAGGCCTAAATCCAGAATCAGATGTTTAACCGATGGAGCTACTCAGGCGCCCTTCACTGAGCTTTTGAATTTCAGAGGATTCAGGTAGAGAGAAAAGTTGAAAGCTTCAATTTGTTCACACAGGGATGTTTTATCACATTTCTATATTATCATGGGTATCTTAAGACAAAGTCTCCTTACTCTGGAAGAGCAAACAGAAGAGCCAGCAGTGTTTCAAACAAGAGTCACAAAGACTGTAACATCTTCCTCAATTCATTCAGTCCCATGTTATATTTCTTTCTTTTCCTTTAATGTCTATTTACTTTGAGAGAGAGAGAGAGAGAGAGAGAGAGAGAAAGGGAGAAAAAGGAAAAACGAATGGGGGAGGGGCAGAGAGAGACAGAGAGAGAATCCCAAGCAGGCTCCTCACTGTCAGCACAGAGCTCTCCATGGGCCTGAACTCACAAACTGAGAGATCATGACCGGAGCAGAAATCAAGAATCAGATGCTTAAGGGACTGAGCCACCCAGTCGCCACCCCCATGTTACTAACTCTTGTTCAGGTTGAATGCAGCTTTTTTTTTGTTTGTTTGTTTCAGAAATTTTTACCCAGTTTAGTTTTATGATTTAAAGCTACCAAAAACCTGAATTTGTCAAAAGCCCTTTTTATGAATCTCCTTGAAGATGAAACAGATTTTGCAAGAGAATAAGAACAATAGCTGTAAATGACAAAAGACTTGAAAATGGACACTGGTAATGATTTGACATGAGAGTTCACTGTGGTGTAGCTGGCAAGGAAATCCCGTTATTTCTGTGACACATAACACTTCAAAAATCAGAATATTGAGTGATGATCTGATACCAAAACATATTAAAACTTTAGGAATTGCATATATCTCCAGAATAGTTATAGCATTTACCCAAACAGTGTAACCTAAAGCTTATCATTATTAGTTTTACTGCACTTCTGGAATAACTTTTTTTTTAAAATCGTTTAATGTTTTATTTATTTCTGAGAGAGAGAGACAGCATGAGCAGGGGAGGGGCAGAGTGAGAGGGAGACACAGAATCTGAAGCAGGCTCCAGGCTCTGAGCTGGCTGTCAGCACAGAGCCTGACACG